ATATTTAATTTCATCGCCCTTTTTGAAAAGTAATTTGCAATTACTTAAATTAAATATTTGCTCTTTTGATAAAATAGAACATTTTTTGAATTATGATTTATAATAAACTTTTTTTTTTTAATTTAATAATAAAATTTTTAAGATATGGATTTTTATTATAATTGTTACAATTTTAAATGATTGTCCTTTGTAAAATAAATACAATTTTATTTATTTTGTAATAAAAATTTTTACAAATATTCTATTCTACGTGAAATTATTCTATTTTAATATTTAATTTAAATAAATGTAAACTGAATAAATAAATTATAAGTTACACTCAGAGAAACATATAAATATTATCTATTCATTCACACTTACTATTACAATAAGAGACTACAGACGATCTGATGCATATATCTTGAATTTCAATTAGTTAATATAGATCATCAACTATTTTTGTAACATCAACAATAATAATTCAGTAACAGAATATATTTTCTGAGTGTATAATTGTAATCGTAAATTATTTCTGTTTAGACTTGCAATCTCTCTCAGAGACTCATTAAATGATAATACATGTTTATTATAGCACACACAATTTCACGAAGAAATTTAATTCAATTTCTAATCTAAAATTATATATACAATAGACTTACTGAGATACATTTTCATTTGATAAACCTCCGGTTAAAATAAATGTTATACAAAATCTCTTATTAAAATAATAAGTTGTAATTGAAAGAAAATTAAGGAAAATGACTACTACAAATAATAACGATACACCAGAGTATTTAACAAAAGAATATGTGGAAAGAATATTAAAAAAATACTTCCAGGATATTACGCTTAAGGTATTAGATATGGAGATCGCACCGGCTACAGCAAAAGGAGAAAGTTTTTGCAGTATAATGACTAGAGTGAAAATTAGCTATAAAATAGAACGAGAAAAAGTTGCGAAACGAGTAAATTTTATAGTGAAATCGACATATGAAAATAATCCTTATTTATCTGGGGTCTTGAGACAATACGATGTCTATAATACCGAAATGCAAATGTATGAAACGGTTTTACCACAATTGCAACAAATGCTTTATGAAATCGGCGATACTGATCAGCTGTGTGCCAGAACTATACATGTGGATTATGATCATGATGTTATTATATTTGAGGATTTAACAGAACGTAAGTTTACCATGGCCAATCGTTTAGAGGGTATGGATGAGACGCATATGAAACTTTGTTTGAGAAAACTGGCAAAAATGCACGCTACAGCAGCTGTTCTAAACGAGCGCCAAGCTGGTATATTGGAGAAGTACGATCATGGTATATATAATAGGCATGTCAATATTTATGGCATATTTGTTGAAAATGTTATGAAAGTAAGTGCCAAATATGCCGCTACTTGTCCCGAGTTGGGTAAATATTACGCTGAAAAACTATCCCGACTAATACCCCATGCTGTTGAATATGTCACTAGATGTTATGATCCTAACCCTAATCATTTTCTAACTTTAAATCATGGTGATATATGGACTAATAACCTAATGGTTCAATATAATGATGAAAATGAAAAACAGATTCTTCAAGATATTTTATTAATTGATTTTCAATATTGTTGTTGGGCTTCGCCAGCTGTAGATCTTCATTATTTTCTAACTACCTCTTCGCAAGATGATCTTCTGCTTAATCATCAGCCAAAATTAATACAATACTATCATCAAGTGTTGTCGGAAAATTTGGTGAAATTAAAATATAAAAAACATATTCCCACATTACATGAACTTAATGTGCAGCTGTTGGAAAGAGCATATTGGGGTGAGTTTTATGAATAATTCTCGTAAAATGTACCTCACTAGGGCCATCTAATTATTTTGGATTTGTGTCGATTTTTGTAAGAATAACAATTCTTTTTAAGTATCGTTCCATTATATTGACTTAAGAGTTATTCAAAGAAACTATTTGTGTGGCGGCTAGGTTCTGCCATGGACCGATTTCAATTAGTTTTAATAGTATGATTTCTTGGCCATATTATTAATATTTATAATTTACTTTCAGCTCTTTCCTGTACATTGGTAAACTTTCCACTCCTGATCAACCATAAAACCGAGGATGCAGATTTTGAAAGTATATTGGGAAATGGTGAGAGGTCTCAAAGACTTCATAATGTTCTTTATACAAATAAAAGAGTGCAAAAAATTGTTAAGTTAATGTTGCCCCGATTTGATAAAATGGGTCTATTAGATGTTAAATAACAAAATAAATAAAACTACTTAAATTAATAAATTAAAATTCTGAAGTAGTAAATGAGTTGTTATTTTAATTACAAGCTTAAAAGCTTTAAAATGTCGGTTCTTGAAATAGAATCAATAACGTCCAATCCTTAGATCAGCTTTATATGTTGACCGGGTGCTCAGCAACTGGACCAACAACATGCCAAGGAATAGATGGATAAGCTGCGAGATGTACGATATATCTATCAGGAAAAGGGTATTTTGCGGTACACCACAGGGTGGAATTATGTCTCCTGTAGTTTCGCAAATAAGACAACAAATTCAAATTATAGTGAATTCTGTTTCCTTAGAAAGAATATACCGGTGACAGACAAGAAATTAAAATGGAGACACCATATAGAGAATAGGATCAACAAGGCACATCGGTGCTGGACGATATGTAGGTGAACTATAGGCATGTATTGGTGTTTTAGTCCTACTACGACACATTGGCTTAATAAAAGTATAATTAGACTAATTTTAGCTTATACTTCATTAATCTGGTGGACTTCTTTGAACAAAAAGTATAATATCAAACTAGTACGGGGGTTCAGCGTACATGCTGCTTAGGTGTAAGTGATGTCATGAGTACTTCGTCAACCAAGGCTTGTAAGGCGGACCTTACAGCCGGACGGCTCTTTACTTTAGACGAACTGGCCAAAAGCGGTTATAGGACATTTTATCAATGTATACTGGACACATTGGAAGTCTATACACAATCGACGGACATGTTTGATCGCATACCAGACACAGAATATGTCGGAAACTTTGAAACACTGATCCCAGATAGAATGTCTTGGTCAAGCTGATCATTACAGAAATTACCCGTAGGATTCCGTTGCTACACGGATGGCTCTAAATTCTATATTGAAGACCCAGAAACAGAAACATAACACCTAATTTACCTAATCAGAACACAAGCTTCCAGGCAGAAGTACGAGCAATAACGGAATGTGTAAATTTAATTCGACAACCAGAAAGCAATTAGGGCAATATCAAGTGATATAGTTAGATCTAAAACCATATTGGATTGTAAGAAGGCTTTGATATCAGGTCACCCGTCAGTAGTCGGCAACGAAAGATCGAATGTATTAGGTTTAAAGGGAAGGGAGGTAGTAAATATGACGAACGCAAAACCATTCGACACAACGAAGGCTAAATCAAAAATATGGGTAGGAGAATACCTCTTGGAATAACGAAAAGTCCTATGGGAGCACGAGTCGAAATCTCGTCAAAATGTGGAAGTCTGAGGTTAGTATGATGGTACGTATTCTGAGTGGACACACAGTATTACGGACACAGCCATACAAAATTGGACGTGCAGATTCAGAAGAATGTAGAGCATGTGGAGAGGACAGTGAAACTCTGGAGCACTTTTTGTGCCACTGTCAGGCATTCGTCGAAGTTAGATCCAAATATCTTGGGAGCGCACAACAGAAATATACATCCTTCTTTCAACCTAACCTAAGTTTGATATGAAAGTTTTTGCTGTATAGTCATACATACATGAAGTCTGATGGACTCTAGTTGATAAATTTTATTTTGACCGTGAATTCTGACCTACAAAAAATTCTTATGAATACATAACTGGGACTTTTTGTTTGGACTACAATCTCTCACAGGCTTATCAAGTTTAATTTTTATTACAGCATATAATTGCACAAACAAATATAATTTCATTGCTAAACTTAATTTATAAATACACTAGACAAGCTCAAGAACTATTTCATTCGATATCCAGACGGTTAAATAATATATGTACATATTACGGAAAATTGCTCACAAATATAAACTTAATTATATTTAATTGAAAAAAATGGAAAAAATGGCAACGTCTACGAATTATGATGCTCCCAAGTTTTTAACAGAAGAATATGTGGCAAATATTTTGAAAAAATATCTTCAAGATGTTTCACTAAAAGTAATCAATATAGAGACAACATCTGTCACAGCAAAAGGTGAAAGTTATTGCTGTGACAGATTTAGATGGGTGTAACCAGACATAAGCGTTATAAAAGACCGAGTATATAGACTAAATTCGACATAAATTAGTTTCGTTTGACCAAAAATCTCCCTACCAAATTTTATAACATAATTAACCCTAACCCCCATATAAGGCCCCCTTCCAATAATGACTTTAACGCTCATTACTGACTTAAATATACGAATATAGCAACGAAATTCGACATCAATAAGTTTCATATGACCCAAAATCTTTCTACCAAATTTTATGAGGATCGGTCCATAATTGACCCTGCAGCCCAGAAAATTACTTTAACGCTCAATAAAAATGGCTTAAAAATACAATTATACCGATGAAATTCGACACAAATAAGTTCCTTACGAGCCAAAAACTTTCTACCAAATTTTTCGACAATTGATCCATAGTTGATCCTACCGCCCATATATACATATATGATCATCGTTTAAAAATTGGACAAAAATGTTTTGTTAATTCGAAAGAGCTCGGTCCATAATTGGCAGAAGTCCCTGATGTTTATAGGGAATTATTCCTTTTATGGTATACGGTTTGATGGTGGGTATATAAGATTCGGCATAGCCGAATATAACACTCTTACTTGTTTTTATTAATATCATTAATGAAAAATAAAGAAGCATTTTTATTAAAAATAAATCGTTTTTAGACTTTTGAAAATTGTTTACATTTTTATACTTAAAATAATTTTTGATCACACTTAATAAAACCTATTAAATTTACTATAACTTATTATCAAAATTAAAATCTACTTTTGTACATCTAGCAAACCAATCTGGTCGAAATAGGGTAATAAGACTTTCAGATTATTTTGTACACGTTTATTTTGATAAAGAGAGTTACGGAATTTTCTACCTCTTTCGTTGTCATCTATTAGACCATGAAAATCGGCATCTTCACATTGATCAGTGATCATTATAGGTTGATTGGTGGTGGCAGCAGTTAGAGCTATAAAAGGAAAGAAATACGACATGAAAGCTTGGTATTTGCAATAAAATAATTATAAAATTTAAATTAACATACCCAATATCTTGCCTTCCTCCAGCTGGACATGCAATTCATGTAATGTGGGTATGTAACCAGTATATTTTAATTTTCTCAAAACATCCACTAAAATTTCATGATAATATTGTACCAATTTATTAAGGGCATGTATATCTAATTGTAATTTTGGCTCCAAGGATGTGTGCAGGAAATAATGCAAATCAACCGCTACCGAAGACCAATTACATAATTGAAAATCTATTAATAAAACATCTTTTAAGGTCTTTTCTATATTTTTTGAATTGGAGTCATAGAGCATCATCATATTATTTATCCATAAATCACCATGACTTAGAGTAAAGAAATGTTTTGGATTACTATTGTAAGCACGAGTGCCATAATCAACAATATAAGGTTTCAATTTCATTAGTTTATCATGATAATAAGAACCCAATTCTGGAGAGTTTTTAGCAAAATTTGCACAAACTTCTGTTAGATATTCAAAAACACAACCAAAAGCTCTAGTGTGTCTGTTAAAAATACCACGTTGAAATTTTTCCAATTCACCGTTGAGACGTTTATTTAAAACTGCAGCAGCTGCATGAAATTTAGCCAATTTCTTTAAAGTCATACGAGCATGTAGTTCATCCATGCCCTTTAAACGATCAGCTAAAACATAATTATTTACGCTTAAATCTTCAAATATAATGGCTGATTTATCGTAGTCCACTTTTAAAGTTTTTGCAAATAGTTTTTCCGTATCACCCACTTCTTGCAGGATATCGGCTAATTGTGGTAAAATTTGTTCATACATTTTCATTTCCGTATTATAAACATCATAGCTAGACATTATGTTCGATATGAAAGGATCACTTTCGTATGAATATTTCATTATAAAGGATAATTCTTGTGGATTTTTGCTGTTCTTTTCTTGTATAAATTTCACCTTAATACGACTCATAACACTGGCATAATTTTCACCATTTGCTGTGGCTGGTCTTATATCAACATTTGTTAATTTCACTTGTTCATCTTTGAGATACTTTTTTAAAACATCTTCCAAATAGGAATCCGTTAACCACAAAGGCGCTTGCCAACTATTATTTTCACACATTTTATATTTTTAAAAATTAAATTTTTTAAATAATTTTTGTTTTCAGTTCCACAACCTTTATGTGGGCTTGTGGCTTAAAACTTTCTAAATGATAAAAAACTTACGAAAATCTTTAGTTTTATGATGAGAAATTGTCAGTTAGTTAAAAAAGTGCTGAATAATGCTGATTTTATCTATTTATCTGGTTACATATGGAGATAGTTTATAACTTTAGTTTTTGTTTTATAACAAGATTTTTGTTTTATATCACTGTAATTAATTTTATAAATTTATAATGCTTATAATTTAATTTACCCACTGATCTTGTCAAACATCAAATTCTGTTTATATATTGCATATTTTGAGGCTGTGATCTTTAAGCTGATAAAATGACAAAAAGAAATTGTAAACCGAAACTTTGACGTAAATAAGAACAATAAAATTACTTTACAAAAGTATTTATTCCGGAAAATGTTAAACAACGTATTGTAAACTTCTGAGGCTAACTTTAATTTAAATATTAACAGGATTGTCAGTGCAATAAAATATTTATTAAATTACGTGCTTTTTGGATTTTTTTATATAACTGCGAAAAATGCAACATGTAGCCATACTACATGTAGAGATAGAGATAGACCTCAACCGTGTTGAAATTAATTCTAAAAATGTGGTGCTCGTATTGTAGTATATAAAAAAAAATAATAAATATTTATATATCAATTTCGATCAAAAAATATCGAAATATTGATTGTAGTCTAACAAAAGTATTTAGAAGTTAAGACCAGAAGTATTGAAAATACTTCCACATTGACATTTTAACACAAGACGATAACAATAAAATAGGATTCTCTAAAACGACTTTCGAACGTATTGTCGAAAAATGTCAATAAGTCGAAGTCGACTGTATTGTTCAAAATCTTGTAAAAAATTTTTTTGAAAAGTCGAGAAAAAAAACGATAAATGTCGATATAAAAACCAAGTTAGATTACTATATTCGGCTATGCCGAATCTTGAATACCCTCCACCTGTAAACAACTTTACGTATTTAAGTAATTTATGGACCTTTTGTGGGAGATATGACTAATTATTGGTGATATATTGAAAAAACGTATTTTTAGGTTGGTTTTTACTCCGATATCATTATTTATCAATGAAATATACGATTTTCGGAAATGGATATTATATGGCAGATATGATTAATTAAAATTTTGATTAAAATTGTTTTAAAATTTGGTAGAGTCATATTATTCTAATATCTTAATTATACCCTACACCACTTTAGTGTGGCTGGCTATCTATGTAAACCTTGCGTGCAAGGTACAGGACGCGATTTTCAATATAATTCGATGAAATTTGGTACACGCGCTTTTTTTGACGAAGCTTATAGAAAATGGTTGAAATCGGTCCATTATTTCACCTAGGCTCCATACAACAAAACCCCCTGAAAAGGTCCTTTGAGCTCATAATTATGTTAAATAATTCTGTATCTCGATAAAAAGTAGCACAAATAAGTTTTATACAAGCCTTGATGACCTTGGCAAACTACATAAAGATCGGGCCTCATTTGACTCTAGCTCCCATACAATGTCTCCTTCAGAAAATTACTTGAATGATCAAAATTCACATATAAACACTAATACCTCGATGAAATCCAGCACAAATAAATATTATATAAATATCGGAATCGGTCTATATTTGCCTAAAGCAAATTAGTTTTTTGTCCATAAATTGCTTAAATGTATCGGAAACAAGATTACATTGCAGATAAATAAATACATTATTATGAAAAATAAATCACATATAATATTCATAATCGGAAATGTGCCTTGTATGGGAGCTATATATGCCCAATTATGGATCGATCCGAAAAATTTGCAGAGTGATATATGTATATATGTATAATAAATGTTATTCCAATATCTTTCTTAAATAGTTATGTGCATTTAAGTGATTTTCGGAAGTAGACCTTATATAGGAGCTATGACCATGGACTGATATAGATCTACGTTGTTCATATTATATACATACATACATATCTATAAAATTTTTGTGGTGATATCGATGTTTTTGACGAAGATATTAACAATAAATCCATTTCCGAAAGTATGTTCCTTTGCCTGGGAGTTATGGGAAATTTTGATCGATTGTTTTAATTTTGAACAATACTTATCTCTGGGTGATAAAATTCATCAAATTATCCTTGGGAGTTTCTGAGAAAAGTACTCTAGAAATGAGAAAAAACTTTTTTTTTCGAGATAGTCTGAAATTTTTAATTATAACTTTTTACGTTGTGAACCGATTTCAATACCGTTTAGGAGAATATTCATTATATTTTCGGTGAATTTGGCTGAGTACTTTTGCTCAGTTTTAACATGAGCGTTTTTAGGCAAACAGACGGACATGACTAAATCGACTCAGATTTTGATAAGGACCCGGAATACATTGTTGGGTCTCAGATGAATATTTCTCTATTACCACTGATGGACTAATTTTTTAAATTTAAAAAAAAAGGTGAAAAGTTAAACTCATTGAGAAAAATCTTGTATGATCAAAATGTCCAACTTTGATTGATTGATAGAAAAAATAAAAAAAAAATTTGTGTCTGACCTACTATCCAATAGTACTAACCTTGGCGCAAATTTCATTCAAATCGGTTTTTTAAGTTGGGTCACTTGTCTCGAAATTGCCTATATGTTTATATCAAGAAAATTTGCTAAGACGTTTAGGTGTTATTGACGAACAAACAAGTAAATTTATAATTATTTTACAAACTATATTACTTAGCATTGGCTTATTTAGAAAAAGTAAATTTAACTATGGGAGAAATATGAAAGTATGTATGTGTTTTCATAATGTTAATCTTAAATATTATTTATATTTATTTTCTACATTATCTATTTTTGTACATCTAATAAGCCATGACGATCAAAATGTGGTAGTATAGTTTTAATGATATTCTGCAGACGTTTATTTTTATAGGCACTTGCACGGAAATTTCTACTTCTCTCATCGTCGTCTACTAAACTGTGAAAGTCTGCATCAGCACACTGATCGTTTATCATTATAGCTTGACTAGCTAAGGTGGCAGTAACAGCTAAGGGAAATAAAGCAGATTTTATTAAAAATCGTTAATTTCAAATTAAGTATTTCAAATAAAACTCACCTAAAAATTTTCCTTCTTCCATTTGTATATGAAATGCATGTAAAGTAGGAACATAGCCCATATATTTTAGATTTTTTAAAGTTTTCGTTAAAATAGTATGATAATACTGTATCAGTTTATCATGAGCATGTATATCCAGCTGTAGTTTAGGTTCCAAAGAAGTATTAAGGAAATAATGCAAATCCACAGCCGGTGAAGACCAATTGCACAACTGAAAGTCTATTAGTAAAACATCTTTTAAATGTTTCTCTCCATCATATTGCATCATCATATTGTTAATCCACAAATCACCATGAGTTAGTGTATAAAAATTATTCGTATTACTATGGTAAGCTCTAGTACCATATTCCACTACATAGGGTTTTAAATTCATTAGTTTGTCATGATAATAAGCACCCAATTCGGGACATGTTTCAGCAAATTTTGCACAATTTTCTGTCATATATTCAAACATACAACCGAATGCCCGGGTGTGTCTATTGAAAATACCACGTTGGAATCTCTCTAATTCACCATTAAGTCTTTGATTTAGTATTAGGCCTGCAGCATGAAATTTTGCCAACTTTTTCAAAGTCAAACGAGCATGCACCTCATCCATACCCGTCAAACGATCAGCTAAAACATAATTATTCACTGTTAAATCTTCAAAAATAATGGCTGATCTTTCGTAGTCCACTTTTAAGGTATCGGCAAAAAGTTTATCCGTATCTCCAATTTCTTTTAAAATTTTAGCTAATTGTGGTAAAATTGTTTCATACATTTTCATTTCCGTATTATAAAGATCATAACCGCTCATAATTTTTGCTACATAAGGATCACTTTCATAGGAATATTTCATTATAAAGGATAATTCTTGTGATTTTTGTTTGCAACTAGAAAATTTCACTTTTATCCGGCTCATAACACTGGCATAATTTTCTCCATTTGCTGTGGCAGGCTTAATGTCAACATTTATAATTTTCACTTGTTCATCTTTAAGGTACTTTTGTAAAACTTCTTCCAGATAAGTGTCAGTTAACCACGAGGGAGCTTCCCAGCTGCTATTTTCACACATTTTATTTTATTAAAATTCTATCTTTTCTAGAAAATGTTCGTGTTGGCGCGTGTCGCTTCACCTTTTAAATGATAAAATGTTGGCAAAAGATGTTTTCTTTTATGAGTTGACAAAATATGATAAATTATTTTTTGTTAAAATGTTTTATTATTCAACTAATCTAAATTAGTTTATGTTAACAGTGGAAAGTACCTGTCATTATATTTATAATTAGAACTTAAATAAAAATCATCAACTGCGCTAGTAGCATCCATGAATTTCTTAGTTTATAGTCAGTCTATAGTCTAGTCTATAGTCTAGTCTATAGTCTAGTCTATAGTCTAGTCTAGTCTAGTCTATAGTCTAGTCTATAGTCTAGTCTATAGTCTAGTCTATAGTCTAGTCTATAGTCTAGTCTATAGTCTAGTCTATAGTCTAGTCTATAGTCTAGTCTATAGTCTAGTCTATAGTCTAGTCTATAGTCTAGTCTATAGTCTAGTCTATAGTCTAGTCTATAGTCTAGTCTATAGTCTAGTCTATAGTCTAGTCTATAGTCTAGTCTATAGTCTAGTCTATAGCCTAGTCTATAGTCTAGTCTATAGTCTATAGTCTAGTCTATAGTCTAGTCTATAGTCTAGTCTATAGTCTAGTCTATAGTCTAGTCTATAGTCTAGTCTATAGTCTAGTCTATAGTCTAGTCTATAGTCTAGTCTATAGTCTAGTCTATAGTCTAGTCTATAGTCTAGTCTATAGTCTAGTCTATAGTCTAGTCTATAGTCTAGTCTATAGTCTAGTCTAGTCTATAGTCTAGTCTATAGTCTAGTCTATAGTCTAGTCTATAGTCTAGTCTATAGTCTAGTCTATAGTCTAGTCTATAGTCTAGTCTATAGTCTAGTCTATAGTCTAGTCTATAGTCTAGTCTATAGTCTAGTCTATAGTCTAGTCTATAGTCTAGTCTATAGTCTAGTCTATAGTCTAGTCTATAGTCTAGTCTATAGTCTAGTCTATAGTCTAGTCTAGTCTAGTCTAGTCTAGTCTATAGTCTAGTCTATAGTCTAGTCTATAGTCTAGTCTATAGTCTAGTCTATAGTCTAGTCTATAGTCTAGTCTATAGTCTAGTCTATAGTCTAGTCTATAGTCTAGTCTATAGTCTAGTCTATAGTCTAGTCTATAGTCTAGTCTATAGTCTAGTCTATAGTCTAGTCTATAGTCTAGTCTATAGTCTAGTCTATAGTCTAGTCTATAGTCTAGTCTATAGTCTAGTCTATAGTCTAGTCTATAGTCTAGTCTATAGTCTAGTCTATAGTCTAGTCTATAGTCTAGTCTATAGTCTAGTCTATAGTCTAGTCTATAGTCTAGTCTATAGTCTAGTCTATAGTCTAGTCTATAGTCTAGTCTATAGTCTAGTCTATAGTCTAGTCTATAGTCTAGTCTATAGTCTAGTCTATAGTCTAGTCTATAGTCTAGTCTATAGTCTAGTCTATAGTCTAGTCTATAGTCTAGTCTATAGTCTAGTCTATAGTCTAGTCTATAGTCTAGTCTATAGTCTAGTCTATAGTCTAGTCTATAGTCTAGTCTATAGTCTAGTCTATAGCCTAGTTTATAGTCAAGTCTAGTCTACATTTCACATTTTGTTTTAATCAGATCAAAAACTAACTTTTGGCATGATGACCGATGTGACCAACTGAACTTGATCAATTAAAACCAAATTTTACTTAAGTTTAGTTAAAAATTTATTGATTGATATCCAAAAGTCCTCTTCTATCAAATAGTGGTAAAAGATTCTTCAAATTTTCCTGAATTGTTGGATTATTATATAAACGACTTTTAAAACTCATGGCACGATCATCTTCACCCATTAGAGAATTGTAATCAGCATCTGTAGGATCTTCATTCAACATGACAGCTTGAAGAATTACAGAACAGTGAACAGCTAAAAATAAATACAAAGTCGTAATCTAGTTAGTATGACTAAAAAATTTGATACTTACCAAAAAATCTCTTTTGTTCAGCATGCAATCTAAATTGTTTCAAGTTGGGTATAGAATTCGATTTATACTTAAATTTTCTTAAAATATCCGTAAAAAACTGATGATACATTTGAAATAAATCATCTTGATGATTAAGTCTTAAGGGTTCTTTTATAGAGGTATTAAAAAAGTGATGTAAATCCAACGTCGGAGAACCCCAAAATGAATATTGGAAATCTATTAGTAAAACATCTAAAGGTTTTCCCGTTTTAGCGCAATACTTAAACATAACATTATTAGTCCAGACATCGCCATGAGTTAAAACATTTACGTGACCATTTGTGGGGGCAAAACAGCGCCTGCCAATATCCATATAATGTGGTCCCAAGGCAAGCATTTTCTCGGCATATTTACGAGAATTTTCATCATTTAATTTTTGCAAATAACGAGCACAACATAGAAAGGTGTTTACGAAAAAGGTTTTATAAGTATCGGTATATTTATTAAAAAATCCACGATCATATTTTTCCAAACAACCTCTCTCACGTTCATTTAAAACCGCTGAGGTAGCATGCATTTTAGATAATTTGCATAAAACAAGTTTAATATGATCCATATCTAACCTTTCTATGCGATTAGCCATAACATAACCCTGCACTGTTAGATCTTCGAATATGAGAGCCTGTCTCTTGTAATCCACATGAAACACATTAGGGAATAGACGATCTTTATCATTGATTTCCTTTAGTAAAGCATTCAGTTTGGGTAAAACTTGTTCATATATTGACATTTCACGATTAAAAATATCATAAGGTTTCATTTTTTCTTGAGCAAATTCATCTTCTTCGTATGAGGTCTTGCAGATAAAATGATTTTCTTGTTGTTGTTTTCCCTTATTTAATGTAAATAACACATGGGCTTTTGTCAAAAATCCACCATAATTTTCACCTTTTCCAAATGCTGGTTTTATTTCAAAATTTTCTATTTTTAATGTTAGATCTTTGTAATAGACTTTCAAGACTTCTTCTATATAATTTTTTGTTAGCCACTCAGGAATAGACATTTCTATTTAATTGTCTTAGTATATCTGTAATGCCTTGTTTAGATAAACTGTCACATCTTTTACATTTATTGTAACTTTTATAGTGTTGTGCATTATTTAGATATGATGATGACGTCATTGAACTTGTTGGATAAATTTAGTACATTTATGATCATTAAATTATTGTTTTCAAATTTGTTCCTAGTTAATTTGTTCATTGTAAAAAATATTGTGAAATTCATTCATATTTTATTACAATAAAACAAATTTAAATATTTTTATTTATTTATATAAATTTTAATTAAATTTTATATATACTTACATACTTATGCATGTTTTTTTTATCGGGGAATAGATGCATTTTGTATACATATTACAATCAGGTAAGAAAGTATAGTCAGTCAGACGCGTATATAGGCGGGATATGAGACCGTATGTTAGGTTACGTGGGTTGCTCGCTAGTTAGCGAGTTCACTAGGCGGCCTTGTGGCCCATTGTGATACCCTTAGAATTGCCATTCCCTTATGTTGAGAGAATGGTTTTCCTCCCTAATTTCGTTTACTACTTGGGTCTTACGGTCTCCGCAAAAAAACCAGCCGGTATTTCTAATAAAACCGATTATGTAAACTAGTGACGCATCTCTGAGACAGTCTAGATCATGGAAAAGACCTCTACCAAGACAGAGTAGTCACATAGAAGGTGTTATACCGATCCCTCTCCTTCTTCTTCTTCCAAACAGCTTCTACAGTAGCTATAACATGGGTAGCCCATACGTTCCGACATAATCGAGTTGTTACTAAGAGACAAGAGAGACCTATCCGTTGTCAGAGTGAGCCAGAGCAGTCTCGTTATACTACAAGTAGTGATACTTGACCACCTAAGTTCCGTCTCACTCAAAGCTCAGTCGTTTATCAATTTTGTTAGGATTACCCTTGCGCAAAGGGATATTGTGAATATTCCTTTGCGCAAGGGTTAAGTCTAGGGACGACCCTTTGGTTACGCATTCAGCTGATATTTCATTACCCCGGATTCACTCATGTTCTGGAACCCATATCAAATTATACGAGACCGTAAATATAAATAAATTTTTTATCGATACTGGATTTAAAAATCTAGTTTTTGCAATTGTTTTACCCACCATCAAAAAAGATGGGGAAATGATGAAATTTTCCACAAATATTCTCTATAGGTAAGGTTTGTTTGATATTGAAAATGGGCGATATTGGTCCACGTTTTTGGATAGCCACAATACAAGTGGACCCCAGAAAACAGCATTAACGGACATATATAATACGAGTATAGCGATAAAATTCGACATAAATAAGTTTCATATGATCCACAATCTTCCTACCAAATTTTATGAGGATCGGTCCATAATTGACCCTACTCCCATATAAGGTTCCTTCAGAAAATGACTTTAACGCTCATTACTGGCTTAAAAATACGAGTATAGTGATGAAGTTCGACACATTTAAGTTTCAATGGAGCCAAAATCTCTCTATCAAGTTTTATGTGGATCGGTCCATAGTAGAATTCGACATATAAGATCCCCTTCAGATAATTAATATTATGCTTATTACTACTTTTAAGGTACGAGTATAGAGATGAAATTCGACACACATATATTTTATACGAGTTAAAATCTCTCTATCAAATTTATTGAGGATCGGTCCATAAGAAAATTACTTTAACGATAATTTCTGACTTAAAAATACGTGAACAGTTATGAAATTTGATATAACAAACATTTATAGGAACGTAAATCTGCCTACCGAATTTCATGTAGAAAGTGTTGGGAAGTGATATTCGATATAAAGATGTTTTATATAAACCAAAATCGGTCTAAATTTATGAAAAATTGTATGAAGAACGGTCAATAATTAGCCATGCCTCTCATATAAGGTCCCCTTTAGTTAATTTGATGAGTAATATCACCCTGATGTTTATAGAGGAGCATTCCTTTTACGGCATACGGTTTGATGGTGGGTATATGATATTCGGCACAGCCGAATATAACACTCTCTTGTTTATACTTAAGTTGAGCTAATGCAGAACCTTCCTAAGTATGTCCAATAGAGGAATCAAAGATTGATTGTCTGAAGAAAAATTTTTTGCTGAAAGCCACAGTCTTCTAGAATTCCTTTAAATAATGGCCAGATATAATAACTTTAATCTGATTATGGGCAAATTTAGATTTAAACCTTCTAAATTCTCTAGGAAAGTATACTTTGATCACTGAGTTAAACATTTATTGTTATTATTTCCAATTAAACGCACTTACCGAAAAACTCATAATTGTTGAAAAACTCATAATCGTTAAAGTTTGGTTATTATTAAACTTGTTCATGTCAAATTTCATCGCTATACTGGTCGTTGAAGGGTTGACACTAATAAGAACTGATCCTCACTAAATTTGACAGAGATATTTTACTTCTTATAAAAATTGTTTGTGTCGAACTGCATTGCTGATTCTTTCAAATTTTTTGATGTAGAATTTTATTGCTGGAATCCAATATGAACCGAAACTTGGTAGATAGATATATGTTCTTTTAAATCTTTTTATAACGCGTAAAATATATTCAATGCTGCATAGCCGATAACTGATAATCGGTTCATATTCATAAAGTCATTAGTCAGAAAGAAATTCACAGTAAGCTAAAAAGATCATGGAAAAAAATATGAAATCTTTTTATGTCGACAAATTTAAGAAAAATCTCGAGATCTCCCAATGATAATAACACAATTTCTAAACTTTAATATCATTTCGTTCAGTAGGACGAACTTAAACTTTTATTTATACATATTTACATAACAACTTATTGATTGATTTCCAAAAGTCCTCTTCTGTCAAATAATGGTAAAAGAACTTTTAAATTTTCCTGAATTACAGGATTATTATATAAACGACTTTTAAAATTCATGGCACGGTCGTCTTCTCCCATTAAGGAATTATAATCAGCATCTGTAGGATCCTCATTAAGCATGACAGGTTGTATGACTACAGAAGAATGAACCGCTGAAAACAAATAAAAACTATATGTATAATACCTATACGAAGTGTAAGTATTACACTATACTTACCAAAAAATCTCTTTTGTTCGACATGTAATCTAAACTGTTTCAAGCTAGGTATAGGATTCGACTTATACTTCAATTTTCTCAAAGTATCCGTAAACTGTTGATGATACATTTGAAATAAATCATCTTGATGATGACGTCTTAAGGGTTCTTTAATAGATGTATTAAAAAAGTGATGTAAATCCAAAGTAGGAGATCCCCAAAATGAATATTGAAAATCAATAAGTAAAGCATCTATAGGTTTACCAGTTTTAGCACAATACTTAAACATAACATTATTAGTCCAGACATCACCATGAGCCAAAACATTTACATGACCATTTGTGGGAGCAAAACAACGCTTGCCAATATCCATGTAATGAGGTTCCAAGGCAAACATTTTCTCAGCATATTTACGGGAATCAGCATCATTTAATTTTTGCAAATAACGAGCACAACATAAAAATGTATTAACGAAATAGGTTTTATAAGTATCGGTATATTGGTTGAAAAATCCACGATCATATTTTTCCAATCTCCCTTCCTCACGTTCATTCAAAACAGCCGAAGTAGCATGCATTTTAGACAATTTACGTAGAACCAATTTTACATGATCCATATCTAGTCTCTGTATACGATCAGCCATAACAAAACCTTCCACAGTTAGATCTTCAAATATAAGTGCTTGTCTCTTGTAATCCACATGAAATGCAGTGGGATATAGACGATCTGTATCATTGATTTCCTTGAGTAAATCATTCATTTTGGGTAGAACTTGTTCATATAAAGACATTTCGCGATTAAAAATATCATAAGGTTCCATTTTTTCCTTAGCAAATTCATCTTCTTCATATGAGGTCTTACATATGAAATGATTCTCTTTTTGTTGTTTACCATTATTCAAATTGTATACCACATGGACTTTTGTCAAATAACCACCATAATTTTCACCTTTACCCAATGCTGGTTTTATATTAAATTTTTCTATTTTTAATGTCAAATCTTTGTGATAGACTTTCAAGACTTCCTCTATATAATTTTTAGTTAACCACTCAGGAATAGACATTTTACTTTAATTATCTTAGAATCTGCTCAGCTCAACTGTCGCATTTTTTAATTTATTGTAACTTTTATAGCATTTTTTCGCGCGCTGTATTTAGAATTGTCTATGTATTTTATGGAGGTAAATAGTCATACTAAGGTCGTCCGTCGTTAGACTTGTTGGATATTAAAATGTTTAATGTTAGATTAATGGTATGAACAGTATATGATTGTGACAACAAACATATGGTTTAATTAGTTTTCTTACCTTTTTTTCAAATCGTCAAGTTATTTCTTCATATCGGAATTCTAAAATACATTTCCCAAAACTTTCTAAAATTATTCATGTTTTCCAACAAAGTAGGGTATTTGACAGTTATTTGTTTATACTGCATATATTTTCCTATCAAGTGCACGCGCAGCTATGTGTAATTCTTTCATATTTAATTGTAATAAAACGGATTTATTTGTATTTATATAAATTATAATAAAATTTTAAATTTGTATACCTTTTTATTAAAGGTTTTCTACTTCTATGTACTGTATATTAATATATACACCATTTCCTTTTTGGGGTACCTGAAAATATTTTAACTGAAGAAATTATAATTCTTTTGAAAATTAAAAAAAAAAAAATAATTCACGTAATAAACTAAATTTTAATGAAATTGCTATATGGAAAGTAGGGTCAATAATGGGTCGAATTTGGCGAACAATTCGTCAACGCAATCTTATTCTTAAAACTGGTAGTTACGATGTTGAGCTTTAAAACAGTTCTTCCAAGTATATAATACTGGTGAACGAACGAACGAACGAACGAACGAACGAACGAACGAACGAAAAACGAACGAACGAACGAACGAACGAACGAACGAACGAACGAGAACGAACGAAACGAACGAACGAACGAACGAACGAAAACGAACGAAGAACGAACGAACGAACGAACGAAAACGAAGAACGAACGAACGAAACGAACGAACGAACGAACGAACGAACGAACGAACGACGAACGAACGAACGAACGAACGAACGAACGAACGAACGAACGAACGAACGAACGAACGAAAAACGAACGAACGAACGAACGAACGAACGAACGAAAACGAACGAACGAACGAACGAACGAAAACGAACGAACGAACGAACGACGAACGAACGAACGAACGAACGAACGAAACGAACGACGAACGAACGAACGAACGAACGAACGAACGAACGAACGAACGAACGAAAAAACGAACGAACGAACGAACGAAACGAACGAACGAAACGAACGAACGAACGAACGAACGAACGAACGAACGAACGAACGAACGAACGAAACGAAGAACGAACGAACGAACGAACGAACGAACGAACGAACGAACGAACGAACGAACGAACGAACGAACGAAAGAACGAACGAACGAACGAACGAACGAACGAACGAACGAACGAACGAACGAACGAACGAACTAACGAACGAACGAACGAACGAAACGAACGAACGAACGAACGAACGAACGAAACGAACGAACGAACGAACGAACGAACGAACGAACGAACGAACGAAACGAACGAACGAACGAACGAACGAACGACGAACGAAAACGAACGAACGAACGAACGAACGAACGAAAACGAACGAACGAACGAACGAAGAACGAACGAACGAACGAACGAACGAACGAACAACGAACGAACGAACGAACGAACGAAAAACGAACGAACGAACGAACGAACGAACGAACGAACGAACGAACGAAGAACGAACGAACGAACGAAAACGAACGAACGAAGAACGAACGAAACGAACGAACGAACGAACGAACGAAACGAACGAACGAACGAACGAACGAACGAACGAACGAAAACGAACGAACGAACGAACGAACGAACGAACGAACGAAGAACGAACGAACGAACGAACGAACGAACGAAAACGAACGAACGAACGAACGAACGAACGAACGAACGAACGAACGAACGAACGAACGAAACGAACGAACGAACGAACGAACGAACGAACGAACGAAACGAACGAACGAACGAACGAACGAACGAACGAACGAACGAACGAACGAACGAACGAACGAACGAAAACGAACGAAACGAACGAACGAACGAACGAAACGAACGAACGAACGAACGAACGAACGAACGAACGAACGAACGACAACGAACGAACGAACGAACGAACGAAAACGAACGAACGAACGAACGAACGAACGAACGAACGAACGAACGAACGAACGAAAACGAACAAACGAACGAACGAAACGAACGAACGAACGAACGAACGAACGAAAAACGAACGAACGAACGAAACGAAACGAACGAACGAACGAACGAACGAACGAACGAACGAACAAACGAACGAACGAACGAAACGAACGAACGAAACGAACGAACGAACGAACGAACGAACGAACGAACGAAACGAAACGAACGAACGAACGAACGAACGAACGAAGAACAACGAACGAACGAACAAACGAACGAACGAACGAACGAACGAACGAACGAACGAACGAACAACGAACGAACGAACGAACGAACGAACGAACGAACGAACGAACGAAAAGAACGAACTAACGAACGAACGAAAACGAACGAACGAACGAACGAACGAACGAACGAACGAACGAACGAACGAACGAACGAAACGAACGAACGAACGAACGAACGAAACGAAACGAACGAAAACGAACGAACGAACGAAACGAACGAACGAACGAACGAACGAACGAACGAACGAACGAACGAACGAAAACGAACGAACGAAAAAACGAACGAACGACGAACGAACGAACGAACACGAACGAACGAACGAACGAACGAACGACGAACGAACGAAAACGAACAAACGAAACGAACGAACGAACTAACGAAAACGAACGAACGAACGAACGAACGAACGAACGAACGAACGAACAACGAACGAACGAAACGAACGAACGAACGAACGAAAACGAACGAACGAAAGAACGAAACGAACGAACGAACGAACAACGAACGAACGAACGAACGAACGACGAAAACGAACGAACGAACGACGAACGAAACGAACGAAAACAACGAACGAAACGAACGAAACGAACGAAGAACGAACGAACGAACGAACGAACGAACGAACGAACGAACGAACGAACGAACGAACGAACGAAACGAACGAACGAACGAACGAACGAACGAACGAACGAACGAACGAACGAACGAACGAACGAACGACGAAAAGAACGAACGAACGAACGACGAACGAACGAACGAACGAACGAAGAACGAACGAACGAACGAACGACGAAGACGAACGAACAACAACGAACGAACGAACGAAGAACGAACGAAAACGAACAACGAACGAACGAAAACGAACGAACGAACGAACGAACGAACGAACGAACGAACGAACGAACGAACGAACGAACGAACAAAAACGAACGAACGAACGAACGAACGAACGAACGAACGAACAAAACGAACGAACGAACGAACGAACTAAACGAACGAACGAAAACGAACGAAAACGAACGAACAACGAACGAACGAACGAACGAACGAACGAACGAACGAAAACGAACGAACGAACGAAACGAAAAACTAACAACTAACTAACTAACTAACTAACTAACTAAAATAACTAACTAACTAACTAACGAACTAACGAACTAACTAACAACTAACTAACTAACAACTAAACTAACTAACTAACTAACAATAACTAACTAACTAACTAACTAACTAACTAACTAACTAATGCCCATATATAAACTTTTATGCGTCTAAGACCAATATTTCGATGAATTGCATTTGACATGCTTTCGAGAATTATTGCTAATGAAAATACCGACTTCGGTCTACAAATAACGAAAGTATGAGTAAATTTTCAATAAGACTCATGACGTTTCTAAAATTTTGAATATATTTCGGATACTTTATTATGTATACATATATACAAATATATGATTATAATTATATATTTGTTTACAACAATTTATTGATTGATTTCTAAAAGACCTCTTCTGTCAAAAATAGGCAAAAGATTCTGCAAATTCTCCTGCACTACAGGATTTTTATAGACACGACTTTTAAAACGCATCGCACGATCATCTTCCCCCATTAAGGCATTGTAATCAGCATCTGTAGGATCTTGATTCAGCATAACAGGTTGTACCACAATGGATGAGTGGAAAGCTGAAAAAATTTTACATAAAATATATAACTAAAATTATAAATTTTTATTAAACATATTTTACCATAAAAACGTTTTTGTTCGGCTTGTAATCTAAATTGTTCCAAACTGGGTATTGGATACGTTATATAATTTAATTTTTTTAAAGTATCAACAAAATCCTGATAGTATATATGAAACAGTTCATCTTGATGATGAAGTCTCAAAGGTTCTTTAATAGAAGTATTAAAAAAGAAGTGTAGATCCAAAGTTGGAGAGCCCCAAAATGAAAATTGAAAATCAATAAGTAAAACATCTATAGGTTTTCCAGTTTTCAAACAATATTTAAACATCATATTATTAGTCCAGATATCACCATGAGCTAAAACATTTATGTGGCCATTATTGGGCTCAAAACAGCGCTTGCCAATATCCATGTAATAAGGTTTCATCTTAAACATTTTCTCAGCATATTTACGAGAATCTTCATCATCAAGTTGTTGTAGATAATGTGCACAAGCCATCAAAGAATTAACAAAAAATGATTTATAAGAATCGGTATATTTATTAAAAAATCCTCGATCATATTTTTCCAAGCAACCGGAACTACGTTCGTTAAATACCGCCGAAGTGGCATGCATTTTTGATAATTTTCGTAAAACCAATTTTATATGATCCATATCTAGTCTCTGTAAACGATCAGCCATAACGAAACCCTGCACGGTTAGATCTTCAAATATAAGAACCTGTTTGTTGTAATCCACATGAAAAACGGTAGGAAATATTCGATCTGTGTCATCGATTTCGTTTAGCAAATCATTTAGTTTGGGTAAAATTTGTTCATATAATAACATTTCTCGATTGAAAAAATCATATGATTCCATTTTTTCTCTTGCAAGTTCATCCTCGTCATCATATGAGGTCTTGCACATGAAATGATTTTCTTTTTGTTCTTCTCCATTATTTGAAGTGTAGACCACATGGATTTTTGTTAAATAACCACCATAATTTTCTCCTTTACCAAATGCTGATTTTATATTAAATTTTTCTATTTGTATTGTTAAGTCTTTGTGATAAACGTGCAAGACATTTTGTATATAATTTTTTGTCAACCACTCGGGAATCGTCATTTTTATCGTATTATTTTAAAAAGATTTGTTTAGTTAAACTGAAGCAATTTTTATCTTTGTTATAGCTTTTAAAGCATTTCTCCGGTGTATTTTAACGATTGTGAGCTTTTATCTGATTATATTTTATTATTTTGTTGCAATAAAATAGTTTTTTTATTAAAATAAATTTTGGTAAATTCATACCTTTTTCCCCTATAATGATGGTCTGTATTTCTCTCTCTGCAACGATCTAAATGTCGGATAAATTTGTAACCGTTTGACGTAGTAACCATTTCACGTAGATATATAGATAAATAGATAGATAGATAGATAGATAGATAGATAGATAGATAGATAGATAGATAGATAGATAGATATATAGATAGATAGATAGATAGATAGATAGATAGATAGATAGATAGATAGATAGATAGATAGATAGATAGATAGAGAGATAGATAGATAGATAGATAGATAGATAGATAGATAGATAGATAGATAGATAGATAGATAGATAGATAGACAGATAGATAGATAGATAGATAGATAGATAGATAGATAGATAGATAGATAGATAGATAGATAGATAGATAGATAGATAGATAGATAGATAGATAGATAGATAGATAGATAGATAGATAGATAGATAGATAGATAGATAGATAGATAGATAGATAGATAGATAGATAGATAGATAGATAGATAGATAGATAGATAGATAGATAGATAGATAGATAGATAGATAGATAGATAGATAGATAGATAGATAGATAGATAGATAGATAGATAGATAGATAGATAGATAGATAGATAGATAGATAGATAGATAGATAGATAGATAGATAGATAGATAGATAGATAGATAGATAGATAGATAGATAGATAGATAGATAGATAGATAGATAGATAGATAGATAGATAGAATAGATAGATAGATAGATAGATAGATAGATAGATAGATAGATAGATAGATAGATAGATAGATAGATAGATAGATAGATAGATAGATAGATAGATAGATAGATAGATAGATAGATAGATAGATAGATAGATAGATAGATAGATAGATAGATAGATAGATAGATAGATAGATAGATAGATAGATAGATAGATAGATAGATAGATAGATAGATAGATAGACATGTGGATGTTTTTGTATTTTTATAGATCGATAATTTCAGCAAGTGAGTGGATCGCTATATTTTTTATTAAATTGCTTAAACTATTGTTTACATTCTTTAGAAATAAAAATTTAATAAAAGTACAAAATGATAGTATTTCAATCATAATCTGAAAAATTAAATAGACCACGTCTGTGAAAGAAAGGAAATAAATCTTTCATAGCTTCCACATAGCTAGGATTGGTAAAAGCCTTCATGCGAAATTGTTCTCCAAATTCATCTGGTCTACAAAAATTATGAATGCTGCTATCTTTATCATTGGGTAGCATCAAAATAGCCAAGTGATTAATGCAAGCGAAAAATGCTAAAAAAAGATAACAATTATAATTATAAATTTATAAAAAAAAAAAACGATTCAAATTACCATGAAATGAATTATTCTCATCAAATATATCTTTATGTAAATCCCTTAATTTGGGCAAAGATTTCTTAAAGCCCAACACTTTTAAACATTCCACTAGACGTTCATGGTATAAAGAAATAAAATAATCAAATTCCTTAATTCTTATATCTTTGGCAGCAGAAATTGTTATAAACAATAACAGATCTTCAACAGGACTACCCCATTTACAGAATTGATAATCCAAAAATATTAAATCCTTTAGGTCACCATTAGGCAAATAATTAAACATTATATTACTGGACCAAAAATCACCATGATTTAAAACATTAAATTTATTCGTTTTTTGATCCAAAGTTTTTAAGCAGCATTTCCAATATTGCTCACAAGAAGGCTGTTATAAAAAATGGACTCGTTACATTAGAAAAACAAATTTTGTTATTTTAAAATACTAACAAATTCTTTAAGGTATTTTTCCACATCTTCTAGACCCCATTGTTGCATGGCTTTTTTATAGGGTTCCTTTCGGGTTTTGAACATACTTTTCTGATAGTCGGCTCCCGCTTCCAAATCCACAAAACCAATTTGAAAATCATTTGGATATTCACCATATCTTTCCTCATAGACTGCACTGACCGCATGCAACTCGGCCAATCTACGTAAAATACTTTTCATATGTTTCATATCACATCCCTGCAAGCGATCTATGTTCACATAATTATTTTCCTTTAAATCTTCGAAAACAAAATTGAAACGTCCATTCTTTTTTTCCGAGAACAAACATTTCGGCGATAGTTTTATATGCCAGCCAACAGCTTTGTATAGTTCCTCAAAGGCGGGTAAATATGTTTGATACATAGCCATTTCTTTGGGAAATAAACTCAATTTATTGACAATATCGCCACCTTTGTCGTCGTCTATCATGGTTTTTAAAATGTAAGTTTTATGTTTGATAGAATCATCTGAAAAAAATTTTAATGAATTTTTTTTTAAACAGTAATAAATTTAAATAAATATTCAGATCTATTAAAATAATTCCATTCCATTGGCCCACCTACCCTTCATTATCAAATCCATGTGTATGCGCAACATAATCGAGGTGAAATTCTCTCCTGGTGGTACGGCAGCAATTGGTATGAAATTTTTAACACCTTTTGCCTCTGGTTCATCTTTTGCTAAAATATCTTTAAAATAATCCAGTTTAATCCAGGAAGGAATTTCTATATTTTCATTCGGATTTATAATTTCGGTTTTGGGTTTCATTTTCTTAAGTGAATTAATTTATAAAACTATATTTTTTTTAAACTTTGCTAATGTACGAATAAAATAGAACTAAACTAGAAAATATTCACAAAGGTAACAATGAAACATTTTATAATGGATACAACAGTCGATGAACGGAATAACGAACTTGTGTTAAACTGAAATAAACATTATATTGAATTGTTATTTATTTTTTCGTTGAACGCCATTTTTGACACGTTATAAAAGCGCCAAGCCAACCTTATATATAAAATATTGAATGAAATTTGAAAGTTTCATTTTATCGGGGCTAATTTTTCCACAACATCTGTTATTCGAGATATCGTGTCCTGAAGTTTGAAAAAACAAACAACATTTTTGGCTCTTTTTGAGACGTTATAACAGCGTTATAATGATAAAATGTTGTATGCCAGCTGAAAGTCTATTCTATCAACTTTAAAATATTGATTAAACATCTGACATATCATCTTTCTTCTTCGAGATATTTTCACCTAAAGCTTGAAAACTGATGGTTTTCAGTACATTCACGGTATTCATAATCTACACTACTATAGTGTGGAGGGTATAATGCTTCGTAAACTTTGTTTATAACGACCAAAATTATTGGATCCACACCTACCTGAGGTTGATCCAATCGACTCACTTTCTGATTCAATTTAAAATGTCTGTTCGTCCGTCAACTTCAACGAACGATACCTCTGCAATTACAGCACATTTTATGAAGATAGTATAAAGAAATAGAAAGAAGATATGTCAGATGTTAAGCCTTTATTTTAAAGCGGATAGAATGGTCTTTCAGATGGTTATTAACAATAAAATGATTTTCTGAAATTTTCTCTATATAGATGGATCGACAAATTTTTGGCACTATTTGACAGTTCCTTTCATTAACTGAATAACATTAACGGAAGGTTTATAATATCTTGTCATACATTCTCACTTGCACCTGTATTAATTAAAATTTTTATAGATTAAATTACGTAGTTTTATTGGAGACTCTTAAATAGATTTATGACAGTCATAAAATATTAAGACACAAAATGTGTATAAAATTTATCTTAACAAAAGTGTGCTGGAGAAAATTAAATTTTATCAAATTCAAATTTAGACATAATTCTAATTGTGAAATATCTGTAGAAAGGAGACCCTTTGAATTAAAGTGCATACAATGATTCTCTGAACTGCAAAAGAGGAAATCTTTTATATTTCATATAGTTAATTAAAAACATCCGATTTTAACGATTTTTATGTTTTCTAAAAGAGCCAAGCTAGATCTTGCCATTATTTTTTTAAAATTTCCGAGTTATAGTCATTTGAAAATTTTAATTTTGCCATGAGTTGGTCCACTTCTTTTTAAATAACGGTCGTAATTATAAACTGATTTTACAAATAATTTCAGACCATTATTTTTTCCTGATTCATCAAATTAGAATGTATAGTCGGTCATGACCAACCATGTGATACCCTACGCTAGTGAGTATGTTGAAAAGTGGATTATTTTTTTTAATAATAAAACATTTAATTTTTGTTTCACCTTAATTCCGAAATAATTTTACAATTTGTTGACAAAAGAGGGGGCAAGGTTAAATATGGACCTTATAAATTTTGGTAGGACGTCTACATTAAAATGGTTTATTTATTTAAAATTTCATCGTGATATACATAAGTGTCCTTCAAGTCATTTTCTAAAGCGGACTGTATAAGGGGGCAAGGTATGATTATTACGAAAAACGGGGTTGGTATCATTTAGACTTATGGGCAGTTTCGTGTCAAGTGACCCAACTTAAAAAATCGATTTGGATGAAATTTGCACCATGATTAGTACTATTGTATAGTAGGTCAGAAATAGCTCGCTTGGTCAAGAACTGCCGGAGTTAGAGGGATTATACAGGTTTTTTTAAACCCACCATCAAAAAAGATGGGGGGTATATTGATTTTGTCATCCCGTTTGTAACACATCGAAATATTGGTTAGTGACCCACAAAAGTATGTATATATTCTGGGTCCTTATTAAATTCTAAGACGATCTAGCCATGTCCGTCCGTCTGTCTGTCTGTTAAAAGCACGAAGGAGTCCGAACGGAAAGAGCTAGGGAGCTGAAATATTCTCTAATGCTGCAGTTTGTTTGGTATTGAAAATGGATAATATCGGCCCATGTTTTCACCTAGTCCCCATATAAGGTCCTCTTTAGAAAATGACTTTAAAGCACATTACTGACTTAAAAATACGAAATTCGACACAAATAAGATTCATATGAACCAAAATCTCTCTACTATTTTGTATGAGGATAGGTCCGTAATTGATCCCGTTCCCCATATATAAGGTCCCCTTCAGAAAATGACTTTAACACTCATTACAGACATAAAAATATGAGTATAGCGATTAAATTTGACATAAATAAGTTTCATATGACCAAAAATCTTTTTACTAAATTTTATGAAGATCGGTCCATTATTGACCGTACTCTCCATATAAGGTCCCCTTCCGAAAATGTCTTTAACGCTCACTAATGATTTCAAAACACGAGTATAGCGATGAAATTCGATATAAATAAGTTTCGTATGACTCAACATCTCTCTACTAATTTTATGAGAAGAATTGCGACATTAGCAAGATGTATATAAACCAGAATCGGCCTAACATATTTTATGAGGATCGGTTCATAGTTGACCCTACCCCATTTGTAACACATCGAAATATTGGTTAGTGACCCACAAAAGTATATATATTCTGGGTCCTTATTAAATTCTAAGGCGATCTAGCCATGTCCGTCCGTCTGTCTGTCTGTTAAAAGCAAGATAGAGTCCGAACGGAAAGAGCTAGGGAGCTGAAAAATTCTCTATTGCTGCAGTTTGTTTGGTATTGAAAATGGATAATATCGGCCGATGTTTTCACCTAGTCCCCATATAAGGTTCTCTTCAGAAAATGACTATAACGCTCATTACTGGCTTAAAATACGACATTTTTCTATCGAAATTCATGTGGAATGAGTTGTTACTCATCTTACCCTCCATATAAAGCCCTCTTCAGAAAATTACTTTAAAGCTTATTTAATGTACGAGTATTCCTTTCAACCGAATTTTACGACAATTAATTCAGAATTGACCCTACCGCCCATATATATATAAGTTCATAGTTAAAAAATTGGACAAAAATGTTTTGTTAATTCAAAAGAGCTCGGTTCATAGTTGACCTAATCCCAATTCCAAATACTACCCTGATGTTTATAGGGGAGTATTCCTTTTACGGTATACGGTGGGTATAGAAGATTCGGCACAGCCGAATATAAAACTCTTGTTTTAAATTAGTGTCATTTTTCACCTATTCGTCCTAGGACTTTGGGTAGCTATTTTCTGAATATTTCCAAATATTTTTTTATATTTTCTTTCCACTTTAGTGGGGAGGCTATATTGGGTTTGTGCTATTTATAACGCACAATAATATTGGTCCTAGAATCGTTTTCTGAGCTATGTCCGTCCGTCCATGTACCCCCCGGGGCATGTTTCCATAATGAAATATCCATCATGGTGTATTGCAATCCCGGGGTAAAGAGATGCTACCAGTATCTCTAGTCTGCCGGGACTGTAAACTGGTGATGTCATATGTATCCTCGGCTTCGCCTTGGAATGATTTGGCATGGGGTCTAACTAGAGCACCATATAATATGGCACTACGGGTGGCAGGTTGCCCACAGGACCTAGTCCTGACCGGTTAATTGGTTGATGTTCCTTCGGAATCACGTAGTGGCTGTGTTTGAAACCCAAATCGCGGGGAGAGAATGTTGGTTTAAGGACTAATATATCCTATACCTAATTGGTTGGATAATTGTCTCTTCGAACAGGTATGCCTTTTTACGCTTCGGGGAAGTTCTTCGGTGCTGTTGCCATCTCAACAGGATATATTGATTCATGCTACGCGACTAATTTGTCGGGGCAATTATTGGAATTAATTGACTTTGGAAATTCCTATTTCCTTTGTTACATTGATCGGTTCATAAAAGATGGATCCTGATCCATTTTGTTGGGTATTTCGGACTACCAAATATGTCTCTAGGTGCTGTTGCCAAAACAACGGGGCCATCTCAGCAGTGTGGTTGCGCGGGCTTAAAGAGGTTAAGGAATGCGCTGGAATGGGTCATTAGATGATGGAGATTGCATTTTGAATAATACAATCTTTCATGACATCATAAGGGTGGTCACCTTCCGGCTTACCGGAAGATTGATTTCACCTGATGTTGGGACTTGTCACCCCCTTCTATTGACTTTAGACCAGTGATTGCTTTTTCCTTGTCGGGGTTTGCATTGGGATTGATCCCATGCTGCCTGTCATTCCGCAACGGGGCTACTATGGCAAGAGATTAGATGACATGGACCGGCTCAGCCATGTACAAAAATTGCTACCTGAGTTCTTCATTGAAGGTAAACATATAGGCTGTATTACTATATCAAGCGTATGAGATCTTAGTAGAAAGATGTATTTTCTCATAAAAACGTTTTAAAGTTTGTAAGAACCTTTAAACCTTTAAAATTTTTGAACAACTGAAGACAAATGTTTTACTTAATATCTCATGTATTAAAAAATATATTAATTAAAAATTAGATTACAATCGGATTATATATTAATAAAGTTATATCTATAGAAGTCATGTTTATTGAGTTGTATTATAATTATTTTTTTATATAGGTATATATTTACAACATTTTAAAATCTTACATTTTCTCAGGTTTTTATTTAAATTACCGAATGCTTGGCTCGTGATTTATAAAAAAAAAAACAAAGAATTCCAATGTTCATTCATATACTATACTTACTCAATTAACAAAATATTATACACTTTTTTCTTACAATTCAAAATTTTTACACAAATTTAGTAGCATGACAAATTGTCATTTTATGATTTAACTAGTAGTGCTTCTGTTAACGTCAGAACTGTAATCAGGTCTCGGTTTATTGCGATTATAAAAGAAAATTAAATAAAAATACAAAAGATTTATAAACTTTTTTTTTAATTGTTTAAAAAAGATATATAGAAATTTTTAACAGTAATATTTTTGGAGATAAGTGTACATTAAATGTAAAAAACTTTTGCAATTTGTGTACTTTTGAATCAGGTGTCTATTCATTCTATAACATTGCTATAACAGCTTTTTTCAATAAAAATCATGTAATTCGTTATTATATCACGCTGAACTTTCAATTAGTGCAATTTAATTCAAATTTAAATGTGCACAAAAATCTCATTTTATCTATTTAAGAAAGTACATTTTAAGCAAATATATAAAATTTTTAAATATTTATTTTTTACACAAAAGCAGAAAGCCACAATTCTAAATGAAAAGTAAAGTGCATAAATCAAAACCCCAGAACAAAAAAAAAATGACACGTTTTGATTAAGAAGCGAGAATATCAAATATATAAAATAAATGTCGGCAATGACATTGTCATTATTATCTAGATAGTTGTAAGGAAAAGTTTAAACATTTCAACTTAAGAGTTAAAGAAATAAAAATAACAAAGTTTTGTAATATAAGATTTAAAGTAAAATGCCAGCTACCGAAGTTTTAAACCATGTTGAAGAACAATTGACCAAGTGTTCGTCGGATGTGAAAAGTGAAGATTTTTGTATAGAAGATTCACCGGAATGGTTGACCAGAGAATATTTAGAAACATGTTTGAGATCATATTATCATAATCAACAATTACAATTGGTTAAAATTCATGCTAAAGCCGCTTTAGGTAAGGGAGAAAACTATGGCGGAGTTTTGACCCGGGTCAAGGCTGAGTTTAAGCCAAATTGTAAGTCCTCTAACAAAAAAGGCAGTTATATTATAAAAACCTCTTTTGAGGGTGATGAACTGGCCATCAAAGCCATGGAACCTTATGATATATTCAATCGGGAAATTAAGATATATGAAGAAATTTTACCCAAACTAAAATTGTTGCTCGAGGAAATCGGTGATGAAGAGCAAATTTTTGCCGAAACTTTGGCTGTGGATAAAGAGAAATCTGCCTTAATATTTGAAGATCTTAATGATAGAGATTTTATAATGCCTGATCGTGTGCAAGGTCTCGATATGGATACTGCTAAAATTGTTCTACGTAAATTAGCTAAAATGCATGCCAGTTCGGCCGTGCTTAATGAACGTGAAGGCAAATGCTTAGAAGGTTACGATTGTGGCATGTTTAATCGTCATACAGAAAATTATGCGCCCTGTTTTGTTGGTTGTTTGGAGGCTTGCACCAGACTTGTGGCTAAATGGCCCGATTATCAACACTTTAGTGAGAAACTGGCTAAACTTAAACCCCAATTTATGGAATTGGGTAAACAAGTTTTTGATCCTTTGCCCAGTCATTTGAATGTATTTTGTCATGGCGATTTGTGGACCAATAATGTTTTAGTGAAATATGATCCGAAGACGAAAAAACCTTTAGATGTTATAATCATTGATTTTCAATATGCCGCTTGGGGTTCTCCCGCCATTGATTTATTTTACTTTATGAATACTTCGCTAAGGGAGGAAATCCATTTGAATAATCAAGATGAATTGATACAGTTTTACTATCATCATTTGTACGATACTTTGATAAAGTTGAAATATCATGGAGATATACCTAGTTTACATAAGTTTCATTTGCAGTTGGAAGAGAAATCATTTTATGGTAAGTTTGTCATTTAAGCTAGAGAGCTAAGTTTTGAATCCAACGCCTTTATTTCGGTAATTTAATTATACCCTACACCACTTTAGTGGGGAGTGTATATTTGATTTGTGCTGATGTTTGTAACGCACAATAATATTGGTCCTATACCCACCTTAAAGTATACCAATCGGCTTAGAATCATTTTCTGAGTCGATTTAGTTATGTCTGTCGTCTGTCCGTCCGTCCATCTAAACCTTGTAATCAAACTACAGGTCGCAATTTTGAAGATAATTCAATGAAATTTGGTACATGATCTTCTATTGTCCCAGGGACGAAGCCTGTTGAAAATGGTTACGATCGGTCCATTATTTCACCTAGCCCCCATACAACTGAACCCCTGAATAGGAATAGGTAATCAAACTACAGGTCGCAATTTTGAAGATAATTCAATGAAATTTGGCCTATTGAAAATGGTTAACATCGGTCCATTATTTCAGCTAGCCCCCATACAACTAGACCGGGCTAATATGGCTTTTAAGTTCATAATTATGTTTAATATACTGGTATCTCGACAAAAAGCTGCAAAACCAAGTTCTATACTAGCATTGATGACCCTCATGAAGTTTTTAATTATAGGGTCTCATTTGACCATAGCCCTTATTCAAAGCCCCCTTCAAAATTCGACTTAAATGTCCACAATTTTATTCAACAATAAATGGCTTAAGTATATCTGAGGCAAGGTACAATTCAACTTAAATGCTTTATTATGAAAACTAAATCACATTTTTTTGTAACAGGTGTAGGGTATTATATGGTCGGCCTCGCCCGTCTATAATTTCTTACTTGTTTAATTTTGCGATCGTGTGCAGTACCCACTGGTCATGAAGTGAAACTCTGGTAATGACTTGTCTGTCTGCATTACTTAGAAGGAGTGGAGTAATGACTTACAAATAACTATATACATAAGTACTTGTTTACGAATGTTTTTTTACAAAAACGAACAACGGACAGTAGATGCAGTGACGTAACATCGTAGGCTATTTTGCTACTTGTACCTACTCAAGAACTGACTTTTCAATGACTATTACATATCGTCTGCATTACTTAGAAGGAGTGGAGTAATGACTTACAAATAACTATATACATAAGTACTTACTTGTTAAAAAAAATACTTGCCTTGGTATTTTGTTTACGAATGTTTTCTTACAAAAACGAACAACTGATAGTAGATGCAGTGGACGTATCATCGTAGTCTATCTTGCCTCCTCAAAAACAAAATCTTATTTAAAGACGATTGTAGTATGTACTTACGTAACTCCCTACTTTTAAGCGAGCATGATAAATACTTTCCTCTAACGTCATCACAGTGTTAACATAATTACTTAAATGTTATTCTGAAGGTAAATTTTAGCATTTTAACCCCTTACTTTTTATTGTAAGTTTTTGCTGGGTCCATACAATATTCTGAATCCCTACAAATGTTCGTCGCTATATTCGACTATATCTTAATATATTGCTTAAGCACGTACCTTATTCGTGGTGTCAATATTATGTACTTTTAAACAAAATCTCTTCACATCGTAATCCACCTTTAAACTAATATAAAATTTTATCTTTACAGCCTTTCACAGCACCTGTGTGGTACAGCCCATCCAGCGCAACGTTGTCAATGATGATGCCGATTTTAATGCTCTCATGCAAAGCGATGAACGGGCCATACGTTTCAAAAATACTTGCTATACAAATCCCTATATACAAAATATTATTAAGAAATTATTACCAGTTTATGAGCGTAGAGGCCTTTTAGATCCTGATCAGTAAAGATAAAGTATCTATGTGAGCTATATATGTATATAAACGGTTATATTTATAAAATAATATAAATAATTGTATATTTGTTGGTTAAGGTAGTCCGTCAGTCTATTGTAAATTTGAAATTTTATCTTTAATTTGTTTAACACTTTAGTTAATAATAAACACTGGTGTATGAGTTAAATTTATTTAAGATAAAAATGTTATAAACTAATAAAGTTGTACAAATAATATAATAATTTTGAAATGTGATAATGAATATTTGCAATGTTTGTTTTAAATTTGTGAAAATTTTCGCCAAATAAGGTAAGATTTATCTACAACTTTTCGTAAACCGAGTATAACATATTTTTTGAAATGGGTGATTAATTACATGTAGTTCCTAAGAATTTTCAATCCGTGTTCGTTAGGTTATATCCGGAATAATATCACTCCAAGATATTTGAATCTAATTTTGGCGAAATCCTGACAACTGTCCTCTCTAAATGTTCTACATTCGTCTTAATCCGCTCGTCCAATTTTATATATGGCTGTACCCTGTATGTTCAGTCAGAATATATACCATTTATATGTTTATATGTATATAATCCAATATGTCTGGTATAAATTGATTAAATTTATAAAGCCAATATGTTATCGTAGGACTAAGGCCGTATTTAATGCCTATGGTTCTCCTACATAGCACCCAGCACCAATGGGTCTTGTTGGTCCTATCCTCTATGTTGTGTCTCCATTTTAATTTCCGATCAAGGATTGTACCAAAGTATCATTCACCGATATCTTCTTGCCCAAGAAACAGGTTTCAATATACTTATAAACTTTTGCCTATCTTGTGAAAGGACAGATTTCCGTCTTCGCCGGGTTAACATTGAGGCCTCTCGGTTGAGCCCAGCTCAAGGTCGCATTCAGAGTTTCTAATGCGACCTTGTTCTAATCGATATTTATTATAAGTACAGTTCCCTCTAGTTCTTCTCTACTGTGAAAGATATCCTAAATATTTTCCATCAGGTTCTTCAGGATACCAGCACATTGGTGAGATGTCAACATCATCAACATTACGCCCATGTTTAATTCACTCTCTCTTTAAAACGATTGCGTGGCTTACTATCTTATTGTTGACCAGATATTCTACCTTACTCTGCGGTATATTCTCTTCAACCGTCTAGCTTCTTCTTCCTCGTTTTTCGGGGCTTCTTTTGAGAGTTAGGGGACCTTCGTAGTTGGTTTCACTGTTTGTCTGCTGAATATCTGCCTTGGCGTTGTCACCCTTACCCGCAGGATTCTGACTTGAGATTCCTTTGAGTGAGGTATGGCTTGGCATCGACTGAACATTAGAAGACGGGGAGCTCTTTTTCTTCTTAGGTTTATTCTCAGTCAACTCCTCGGGAGACCTGATCATGTTTGTCTCAGATATTGAGAAAGATTCCAATAATAGGCAGTTTAACTATACTATCATACACTTCTTTCACCATTTGCTTTATTTCATTCTTTTTGCGATTTGCTATGATGGTGTTGTTATTTCGATCTGAGGATTCAGAATCGGAACCCACTTTGAGAGCACTCTCCGGGCACCTAGTTTTGGTCGTAGAAACTTATTACTTATTGCTTATTAATAGATCAGATCATAATAAGATGATAGTGCTTTTTGGAATTTGTTTCGTCTTATAAGCTGTTTTTGATTACATCTCAAGAAAACGACTTTTTAAGAATGTAAAAGTCGTGGACCGGTATTAGGAACTTTAGTACCATTAAATCTTGGCGTCATGAAATAACTCCCCAAAACAAAAATAAAATAACTCCCTAAAAATTTGTTCAGAAAGCAAAAACAACGAAATTTGGGGATTTAATTCGTTTTTTGGGGCATTATTTCACATTTAAAATGGGGAGTTATTTCATTATGAAATAATTCCTCAAAATTCAAAAATGAAATAAATCCCTAAAAATATTTTTGGGGAGTTATTTCATTATATTACATTTGTCACACGAAATAAATAATATATGTCTGATAGCCGGCCTTCGGCCGGGCGCAAGGGTTTTATCCTCTGGGGTACATTGGACACCGGCTTCGCTACGAATACACTCGCCTTGTATCAAAAGTGTTCGGCCTTAGGCCGGCTATTTAGGAAATCTTTATTAAGCGAAGCCGGTGTTGGTCATATTATAGAGCGGTAAATCCTTGCGTCCGGCCGTAGGCCGTCTATTTAGGAAATATTTATTAAGCGAAGCCGTTGTTGGACATACCATAGAGTAGAAAGTCTTTGCGCCCGGCCGAAGGCCGGCTATTAAAGGAATCTTTATTAAGCGATTAAACTGAAATGTATTAAACTTTGAAGCCCCACTCGAAAGTATGAGCGACCTACGTTTTTTTAGAAATTTTGTTATTTTTAAATGGGAACTTATTTCATTTTAAAATTAGGGATTTGTTTCATATGAAATAAATCCCCAAAAATGGGCTGTTATTTCATTTTAATTTAGAAAGTTATTTCATTTCGTTGGAGGCTTTTTCATTTTTAAATTGGGGAATTATTTCATAATGAAATAAGTCCCCAAATTTAGGGAGTTATTTCATTTTTGTTTTGGGAAGTTATTTCGTGGGGAGTTATTTCATGACGCCTAAATCTTATCTGAAGAAAATATTGGTAGAGAGAATCAGAACTCTAGCTCTTCCCATTGAAGACCTGCTCTCAACAGATTGAAATATCAACTAGAATAGATCGTTTTAGAATCGAATAAGGTTCGGTACACATTATATAAATATGTATGTAGTCTTGGGTGAAAAAAATAAAAATATTTTGCTTCTTAAAAGTGATAACTATGAATTAGAAATATAAATAAAACGATTTCTTTTAAACATTTATAAAAAATACTTTTTATACACATTAAATCAACAACAAATTTTATAACAATTTCCTAAAATCTATTTTACATTGGTCATTTTTATTATCTTTAAACATCTAAGAATCCACTCAATTCGAATTCTTTCACAGTACGTTGAAGAAATGCTCTATATTTGGGGTTCTCAACATTTTTACGACGCAATTCATCGCCTTCTTCAGTGCGTGAGGTAAGATTTTCTAGATTTTCGAAACCCTCTTTTTCCATAAATATAATGGGAGTTAAGCAAGTAGCAGCAATAACACCTAAAGTGGAATAAAATTCATTGTATTAATATAATTTTTCTTAATTATAATCTGTAATTGTAATTACCTTGCAAACTATTGTTAATTATATCAATGGTAATCTCCTTAAGTGAGGGAATGTTACCATCATAATTTAATTTATCTAAAGTTTCTTTTAAAATGCGATGATATTCACGAACAATATATTTCAAATGGACCTTGCGTACATTTTCATTTAGGGAACCATACAAGAAGTAATTCAAATCCATAGCAGGGGAGCCATAATAGGACAATTGGAAATCTAACTGTTTAAAGTAAAAAAGTTATTATTAATATGTATTCAGTTTAAATTTTCTAGTTTATTCATTACTTACCAACACTACATTATCTGGTTCTTTGGTTTCATTGTTAATATGGAACATTAAATTATCAACCCACAAATCGGCAATATTAAATACACGAAAACCATTCTCATGGGATTCATACATATCAACTGCACTTTGTAATACATTTTCGGCCAATTTGAACATTTTCTCAGTAATCTCTTCATAACCCTTCCAATGTGAAATCTCCTCAGCTACACAACGTATATTAACCGGGAAAAATCCCAAGAAATCTTTACGATCTGGATTACGTGAAATTGGTGCTTCTTCAAAGAATTCCATAATTTTTGAATTTTCAGCTGCTATAACAGCCGAACATGCATGTAACTTAGCTAGCTTTTCAATGGTGGGTAAAACATAGTCCAGATTAAGTAAACGTCCTTTTTCGAAATTTTCGTAACCATTTAGGTTCATGTCTTCAAGTATTAGGAAGGGTTCTGGTGTTTCGGTGGTATAGTAGCAAGCTGGAGCAATTTTAGTTGTATCACCTATGGAGGCCAGAAGCTCTTCGACACGGGGTATTACTTCTTTGTAAGCCATAATTTCACGTTTAAATAATTTACTTTTGTGAGCTACTACACCTGTGTAGCCTTTGGGGTGGTCCTGTTAGTGAAGTGAAATATAGAATTAGAAAATTTAAAATTAAATTTCATTTAACAGTGAATTGTACACTATTAAATTCACAGTAATTCACTATACAACAGAATAAATTTAAATAATTCCCGGTATGTAGGAGAATCATAGGCTCCAAATCGGGTTTTAGTCCAACTCTGACACACTAGCATTATAAAAACGTAAATAGATCAATTTAGATTTGTAAATGGGGCCATGGGCACTACATCTAACAAAGATTTAGAAACATTTACGCATATTGGGGAAATGTGAGAAATTAGTGTCAGGTAGGAGATCACAACAAACCCCGGCAGGAATCTGTTGTCACACTAAAGGCTTTAAAAAAAGAGTCTAGGAATCTACATTCTAAAGCGGGAAACCGAAATATACTAACGTCTTCTTTGACATCACAGCAACTACACAGCTTCCAAGCGGATGTCCGTGCTTTGACTGTAAAGAGCCAAAACCGAATAAAATTGGACCAAGGCTTTAATAAGTGATTTATTGCCCTTTTTTCGAAACTCCTTTATTGTGAATAGTTTATCGGATATCTTTGAATTTAAAAACTTGAAATATACACATATACATATGTATATAGGTATACATATGTAGATTTAAAACATATGTATCATGGACCGAGGTTTTCGAAATTAAAAAAAAGTAATTATTATTTAAATATAAATATTTTTTTCGAATTTTGATAAAAATAAATAAAAGCGGCGTTATATTAGGGGCAAGGGGGCTCGTTTGATCGATAAGGTCAATTATAGGACTGATCCTAATAAAATTAGGTAAATAAATTTCGGTTCATATTTATGTCGAATTTCATCACAGTACTCGAATTTTTAATGAAATTTTTTTGAAGAAGACCTTATATGGAGGATAGAGTCATTTATGGACCGATACTTATAAAATTTGGTAGAGAGATTTAAGTTCATATAGAACTTACGATAAACATACATACTTGTGTTTTAAATCATTAATGAGTGTTAAAGTCATTTCCTGTAGGGGACCTTATATGGGGAGTAGGGTCAATTATAGACCGATTCTCATCAAATTCGGTAATGAGATTTCTGTAAATAAAACTTGTTTATGTAGTTGTACTAGTATTTTTAAGTCCATAATACTTAGAGGTTAAACTCATTTTCTGAATGGGTCTTTTTGGGCCAATTATGGACCGATCTTTATAAAATATTTTAGACAGATTTCAGTACATATTTTTTTATGTCGAATTTCATACGCTGTACTCGTATTTTTAAGTCAGTAATAAATGTTAAGGTCATTTTCTGAATGGGCCTTATATGTTAGGTAGGATCCCCTTAAAATTTGGTGCACAATTTTGGTTATCATAATCATGGTATTCGTAAGTCAGTATTGAACGTTAAAGTCATTTTCTGAAAGGAACTTTCTATGGGGGGGTAGGATCAATTGTGGATCGCAATATTTTACAAAATTTCGTAACAATTGCTATCTAATTAACACATTTATGAATGTTTAAACCGGGGGCTATACAAACCCATGGAACGGCAAATGTTTGTACAAAATTACAGCTCTCTAGCTTCTCTTGTTTAGGTGCTATCGTTCCTGAAATATACAGACAGACGGACGGACGGACGGACATTGCTATATCATTTTGGAATTTAATCAGCTCCCAGACTACTCTTAAGGGTCTATGACTAATATTTCGATGTGTTACAACCGGAATGGACCAATATAGCTATTGATTTTTTATGGTTGAAAATTAGCATCACTTGATGTGATGAATTGTAAATTATGCTGTAATCGATTTTTGATTATGATTGTTTTTTGTTAAAAATTTTAAGAGATTTTTATACAATTCTTTAAATTTCCGTTTGAAATACGTCTATTTTGAATGCTTTCAATAACTGCTTAAATATTTTTAAATTATGTAGTAAATTTACATATTTATATTTATATTTTCAATAAAACTATTTATTAACACTTATTAAAAAGCATTTAATACTTATGTGTTAATAAAAGCAACGACCGATATGAGTGAGTGGATTTAATCTTAATAAGAAAACAAAGTCATATCAATATTTGGCTTTGAGATAAGAAAATTAAATATTATCAAATTCTAATAAAAACATAGTTTCTAAATGAAACTAATATTATTTCAAAAAAGACAATGCATTTCGTTACAAATTCAATTTTAAGAAAATTTAAAATAACATATAAAACACCCAAAAAAGCTTTTAGAATCAACAGGCATATTTTTATACAAAGCTCTTTTTGAAACAATCACAACAAGTGTATACTTTCGTTAAGCATGTGATTTTCCTCCAACAACAACAAAAAATATCGATTAATAACAAATGCAGTTTGAGAAATTAAAAAAAAATATAATAATCAAACACTAACATACCTTTATAATAACAGAAAATTTACCGGTAACATCATTACGTTTCAAATTGAAAATAGCACGATGCATTTCACTGGCAAAACCACTGCCCACCATTTCACCGCCACCATTAATACTTTTCACAACAATTTCATGCACTTCGAGAGTGTCATCTTTAAAGTATTCCTTTAAAACATCCTGTAGAAAATCGGCTGTAATCCATTCAGGAGGAGTGTAATTTTTAGCACCAGTACCCATATTTATATCACTTTCAAACTTTGTAGTTTAAACGAGTCACCTGATTACAATTAACTTCGAAAATTCTTTAGATGTCTATACAAAAACGTCCGTACAACTTAAAAATTTGATAAATAATAAATACAGCAGAATTCATTTAAAGGGGAGGCATTTTTGGGTGGATTTATTTAAATGTAAAGTTTATTTGAAAAGTTTTTTTTTCTCACTGCTCTCTTAGACTTTGGTTCTCGCTAAACTCACGTGCTTTCGAATGAAATGAAAAGAAAAACTGAATCAACAGAGAGAGCTTTTTTTAGCTTAAACAACTGTTGAGGTGATAACAGGCAGAGTTGCCAACAGATTGACATTTGATTTTAAAATAAGATTCTATAGAATAATTCCTATAAAGAAAATGTTCGATATTGAAAAATTTTGATATTGAAATTTTTTCTTCTACAGAAATTTTTCGATATTGAAATTTTCTCTTCTATAGAAAATTTTCGATTTTTTTTTTTTCTGTCGAAATTTTCAATAGAAATTTTTTCATAGAAAATTTTCGATATTGTGCTTTCTTTATGGAAAATTTTCGATATTGAAAGTTGCACATAGTATATAGTCTAGTCTATAGTCTAGTCTATAGTCTAGTCTATAGTCTAGTCTATAGTCTAGTCTATAGTCTAGTCTATAGTCTAGTCTATAGTCTAGTCTATAGTCTAGTCTATAGTCTAGTCTATAGTCTAGTCTATAGTCTAGTCTATAGTCTAGTCTATAGTCTAGTCTATAGTCTAGTCTATAGTCTAGTCTATAGTCTAGTCTATAGTCTAGTCTATAGTCTAGTCTATAGTCTAGTCTATAGTCTAGTCTATAGTCTAGTCTATAGTCTAGTCTATAGTCTAGTCTATAGTCTAGTCTATAGTCTAGTCTATAGTCTAGTCTATAGTCTAGTCTATAGTCTAGTCTATAGTCTAGTCTATAGTCTAGTCTATAGTCTAGTCTATAGTCTAGTCTATAGTCTAGTCTATAGTCTAGTCTATCTATAGTCTCAGGTCCTATAGTCTAAGTCTATAGTCTAGTCTATAGTCTAGTCTATAGTCTATCTAGATCTATCTAGTCTAGTCTATTAGTCTATCTATAGTCTATCTATGTCTAGTCTATAGTCTAGTCTATAGTCTAGGTCTATAGTCTAGTCTATAGTCTAGTCTATAGTCTAGTCTATAGTCTAGTCTATAGTCTAGTCTATAGTCTAGTCTATAGTCTAGCCTATAGTCTAGTCTATAGTCTAGTCTTTAGTCTAGTCTATAGTCTAGTCTATAGTCTAGTCTATAGTCTAGTCTATAGTCTAGTCTATAGTCTAGGCTTTAGTCTAGTCTATAGTCCTAGTCTATAGTCTAGTCTATAGTCTAGTCTATAGTCTAGTCTTATAGTCTAGTCTATAGGCTAGTCTATAGTCTAGTCTATAGTCTAGTCTATAGTCTAGTCTATAGTCTAGTCTAGTCTAGTCTATAGTCTAGTCTATAGTCTAGTCTATAGTCTAGTCTATAGTGTATGGAAATTTTCTCTATAGAAAATTCTCGATATTGAAATTTTCTCTATAGAAAACTCTCGATATTGATTATTCTCTATAGAAAATTTTCGATATTGAATTATTGTCTATAGAAAATTTTCGATATTGAAATACTCTCCATAGAAAATTTTCGATATTGTGAAAGTTTCTTTATAGAAAGTTTTCGGGATAAAACTTTTCTCTATAAAAATTTTTCGATATTGTAATCTTCTCTATAGAAATTTTTCGATATTGAAATTTTCTCATAGAAAAACTTTCGATATTAAAATTTTCAAATAGAAAACTTTTGATATTGAAGTTTTCTCATAGAAAATTTTAAGTTATTTTATTGAAAATTTTCGATATTGAAGTGTTCTTTATTTCTTTATAATTTAAAAAATAAAAGACATTTTGCAAATTACGAATTTTTAATCGTTATTTTTTCAGTTTATTTTTGAGATTTTTTATATTCTAAAGTACCGTTTATCCTAATCAAACTCCAATATACCCCTTCTATAAAGAAATGGTAATATATCCAAAATTGCTCTTACATACAAAGGATTTGTAAAAGCTTTCATACGAAACTTATCACCATCTTCACCGGGCTGCATAAGTTTCAGTAAACTGGCTTCTTTATCCGAAGGCAATAGAATCATCACAAGATGGGTGAAGGAAGTAAAATAACCCCAAAATCCATGTCTGAGCATACTTATATGAAGATCACTTAACAGAGGCATAGGTTTTTCATAATGTAAAAATTTCAGACTTTTTAACAGATGCGTATGATAAATTCTAATGAATAAATCAAAATTACGTATACGCAAATTACTCTCCACCGAGCAAATAATAAGTTCCCACAAATCCATGGCCGGACTAGCCCATTTACACATTTGAAAATCAACAAAACGTATTTGATTAATCTCACTAGTGGGTGCAGCCTTTGTTGTATAATTAAGCATTATATTGCTCGACCAAAAGTCACCATGATTTAAGACTTTGAATTCATTGGTTTCCGTGCTAAAACACTGCAAGGAGGCATTGACATACTGCTCGGCATTGGGCTGAAACATATTACATAAACAAATGATTATTAAAATTGTTTACTTTTCTAAAGATGTATATAACTTACTATTCTCTTGGCATACTTTTCATAATCCTCCAAACCCCAACTGGCCATAGCGGCTTTGTAGCTCTGTACTCTCGCCTGATAGGATTTTGATTTTTGATAGTTGGCTGGTAAGTATGTGTTAGTAAATTCTTTTGGATATGAACCCATACGCTCTTGCAGCACTACAGAGGCAGCATGAAATTCAGCCAACTTTTCTAACACCCTCTTCATATGTGTCATACCGAAACCTTTTAAACGATTTATATTTCGAAATTTTTTCGTTAATAAATCTTCTAGAACTAATGTTATTCTCCCGGATTTATCTTCAATCCAATGACATTTTGGTGCAAATTTTACTTTACTGCCAAATTCTTCATACAATGATTCCAACTGTGGCAGTACAGTTTCGTACATTTGTTTCTCTTTGGGAAAGAGATTAAGGGTGTTTATAAATGTGCCACCTTTGTCATTGTCCAACATAGTTTTCATAATATACGATTTTTGTTGTGTAAAGCCATCTGAAAGAAATACAATTTTTTTAATGTTAAAACTTCATTTTGAAGAAAATATTAATTTTACTATATTAAGGGGACGATTTTCTGGCGAACGTGTCTTTGGTGAAACACAATTTATGCAGTTTGCTGGTCATTTGATAGCCATTACCTGGCCTCAAACAGACTGTGAAAAGAGAGATTATGTAAAATATATTGCATCTTACTGGTTAGTGCATGTTCAGGCATGGAATATTCAGTACTTTAGTGCTTATTTTAGTCTAGTCTATAGTTTAGTTTATAGTTTAGTCTATAGTTTAGGCTATAGTTTAGTCTATAATTTAGTCTATAGTTTAGTCTATAGTTTAGTCTATAGTTTAGTCTATAGTTTAGTCTATAGTTTAGTCAATAGTGTAGTTTGTAGTTTAGTCTATAGTTTAGTCTATAGTTTAGTCTATAGTTTAGTGTATAGTTTAATCAATAGTTTAATCAATAGGTTAGTCTATAGTTTAGTCTATAGTTTAGTCTATAGTTTAGTCTATAGTCTAGTCTATAGTCTAGTCTATAGTCTAGTTTATAGTCTAGTCTATAGTTTAGTCTATAGTTTAGTCTATAGTCTAGTCTATAGTTTAGTCTATAGTCTAGTCTGGTCTATAGTCTATTCTATAGTCTAGTCTATAGTCAATTCTATAGTCTAGTCTATAGTCTATTCTATAGTCTATAGTCTAGTCTATATTCTAGTCTATAGTCTAGTCTATAGTCTAGTCTATAGTCTAGTCTATAGTCTAGTCTATAGTCTAGTCTATAGTCTAGTCTATAGTCTAGTCTATAGTCTAGTCTATAGTCTAGTCTATAGTCTAGTCTATAGTCTAGTCTATAGTCTAGTCTATAGTCTAGTCTATAGTCTAGTCTATAGTCTAGTCTATAGTCTAGTCTATAGTCTAGTCTATAGTCTAGTCTTTAGTCTAGTCTATAGTCTAGTCTATAGTCTAGTCTATAGTCTAGCCTAGTCTATAGTCTAGTTTATAGTCTAGTCTATAGTCTAGTTATAGAGTAGTCTATAGACTGGTCTATAGTCTAGTCTATAGTCTAGTTTATAGTCTAGTCTATAGACTAGTCTATAGTCTAGTCTATAGTCTAGTCTATAATCTAGTCTATAGTCTAGTCTATAGTCTAGTCTAGTCTATAGTCTAGTCTATAGTCTAGTCTATAGTCTAGTCTATAGTCTAGTCTATAGACTAGTCTATAGTCTAGTCTATAGTCTAGTTTATATTCTAGTCTATAGTATAGGCTATAGACTAGTCTACAGTCTAGTCTATAGTCTGGTCTATAGTCTAGTCTATAGTCTAGTCTATAGTCTAGTCTATAGTCTAGTCTATAGTCTAGCTAGTCTATAGTCTAGTCTATAGTCTAGTCTATAGTCTAGTCTATAGTCTAGTCTATAGTCTAGTCTATAGTCTAGTCTATAGTCTAGTCTATAGTCTAGTCTATAGTCTAGTCTATAGTCTAGTCTATAGTCTAGTCTATAGTCTAGTCTATAGTCTAGTCTATAGTCTAGTCTATAGTCTAGTCTATAGTCTAGTCTATAGTCTAGTCTATAGTCTAGTCTATAGTCTAGTCTATAGTCTAGTCTAGTCTAGTCTATAGTCTAGTCTATAGTCTAGTCTATAGTCTAGTCTATAGTCTAGTCTAGTCTATAGTCTAGTCTATAGTCTAGTCTATAGTCTAGTCTATAGTCTAGTCTATAGTCTAGTCTATAGTCTAGTCTATAGTCTAGTCTATAGTCTAGTCTATAGTCTAGTCTATAGTCTAGTCTATAGTCTAGTCTATAGTCTAGTCTATAGTCTAGTCTATAGTCTAGTCTATAGTCTAGTCTATAGTCTAGTCTATAGTCTAGTCTATAGTCTAGTCTATAGTCTAGTCTATAGTCTAGTCTATAGTCTAGTCTATAGTCTAGTCTATAGTCTAGTCTATAGTCTAGTCTATAGTCTAGTCTATAGTCTAGTCTATAGTCTAGTCTATAGTCTAGTCTATAGTCTAGTCTATAGTCTAGTCTATAGTCTAGTCTATAGTCTAGTCTATAGTCTAGTCTATAGTCTAGTCTATAGTCTAGTCTATAGTCTAGTCTATAGTCTAGTCTATAGTCTAGTCTATAGTCTAGTCTATAGTCTAGTCTATAGTCTAGTCTATAGTCTAGTCTATAGTCTAGTCTATAGTCTAGTCTATAGTCTAGTCTATAGTCTAGTCTATAGTCTAGTCTATAGTCTAGTCTATAGTCTAGTCTATAGTCTAGTCTATAGTCTAGTCTATAGTCTAGTCTATAGTCTAGTCTATAGTCTAGTCTATAGTCTAGTCTATAGTCTAGTCTAGTCTATAGTCTAGTCTATAGTCTAGTCTAGTCTATAGTCTAGTCTATAGTCTATAGTCTAGTCTATAGTCTAGTCTATAGTCTAGTCTATAGTATAGTCTAGTCTATAGTCTAGTCTATAGTCTAGTCTATAGTCTAGTCTATAGTCTAGTCTAGTCTAGTCTAGTCTAGTCGATAATCAAGTGTATTGTTTAAAACAGAAGTAAGATCGAAGGTTTAACCGAACACTTTATTTTAATTGGGAATATGTATATAAATTGTATTTTATGTGGTAACTCTGGTTATACCTCCAAAGTTTTGATCAAACTCAAACAATTGTAATATTTTTGCATTTTTTGGCCAATCGACTTGTTTATAACTAAATCAGGTCGTTTTCAATTCGTGTTAGACAGGGTATCAAACTAGTAACTCAGGATTTTAAATTAGAATGCTTAATTAAAGAATTAAGAATGCAATTGCTTTGAATGAAAAAAGTATTTAGAATAAACCAAATATAAATTAAATACTTTTTTGTCGAAACGCATTTAGCTGTGTTGAGTATTACGTAACAAAACATTCCTTCTATCTGACGTCTAAACTTGCATTGAAAGTACTTGAATTGATAAATATGTTATAAATCATTATTAATAACTGAAATATTTGTAAAATAAATAGTTAAATAGCATTTTTAAATGTCCGGTACTGAAGGATTAAAAGTTTTTGTATTCAAACACATACATATTTATTTAACAAAATATATAGTCGGACATGGCCGACCACATGATACCATACAAGAGTTGTGAGAAAATTTTAAAACCTATTTAGGGTAACACCACATACCTAGTGGAAAGGGTAGTATGTGTTTGTGCCGATGTTTGTAACACAAATACTAATACTTCTATAGTATAGAAATGATTTAAACGAATATCATCTTATACAACTTAATTGTGTATTTTTTTTTTTAATTTAATCCAATTATTTTGATACTTTTGATACTTTTCAATACTTATTATAATTTATTAAGATGTACTGCTAAAATGACAAATTATTAAAATAATATTAATTTCGAAATCTATAATATTTATAGTTTAAAATACATAATAAATATAAAATAACCATCTTTAACAGTCAACAATTAAATTTCCTATTTCGCATTATTATTGCAAACAAAAACACATAAATTATAAATTATCTACGAGAACCCCCAAAATTATTAAATATAGGAACAATAATGTGGACTATATTAAATAATTTATTATCAGTACTTTACCATGGCTTAGTCAGCCAGAATTCCAAAATAAAATAATTTGTTTATGAATTACACTAAGCAACAGAATTCAAAAATCTAGATGAGATTTAGATAAGAGAACATTTCCCGCTGGCTTTTCTTTATAAAGGAGGTCACTGATAAGACATGGCTTTCATTTGAATTTTTAGGCGTAAACTATAACTCCTTCTAACTGCTATCTGAAACACATGTGCTTTTCTTTTTAGAACTAAGTCAGTCCAACACATAGAGGAGGAGCTCTAAAGGGTTTGCCTTATCCGTTTACTTTGGGATTTTATGAGAAATTTGCTAAATACAATATTTTGATATGAAGTCATCAAATTAAATATGTAAGAAAGTGTAGTCGGGACATAATAATATTTTTGGGAAAAATAGGTAAACTAGCAAAGTGGGCGTGGCATCTCCCATATTAATCAAATATTAAAATTAGTATTCTGGCATAAAGCTAGAGTGACTAAATTTTGTACTAATAACATAAGTATTAATATGAATTTTTAAGGGAAAAATGGAGAGTCTAGAATCAGTGGGCGTGGCATCTGTCATATTAATCAACTACTAAATGCATGGTCAACTTTGACAAATGGACGATGTATCAATAGTTAAGTTCCGAAACCCTATTTGCGAGGAACAGTTTTATTGGGACTAGGTGAAATAATGGAAAAATAATGTGTTTGTCATTCCGTTTGTAACACATCGAAATATTGGTCATAGACCCACATAAGTATATATAATTCGAAGACGATCTAGCCATGTCCGTCTGTCTGTATGTTGAAAGCACGATAGAGTTCGAACAAGAAGAGCTATGGAGATGAAATTTTATATAAATATTATGTATCGATGCAGTTTTGCTATTGAAAATGGGCCATATCGGTCCATCATAGCTCCCATAACTGGTTGAAAAACATTAGTATGTCAATGAAATTCCAGATTAACATGTTTTATATGAACCAATATCTGCCTACCAAATTTTATGAGGATCGGTCCATAATTGACCTTACCCCCCATATAAGGTCCTTCTCAGAAAACGACTATAACGCTTATAACTTGCTTCAAAATTATAGCAAAGTAACGAAATTTGACATAAACAAGTTGTAGAGGAACTAAACTCTCCCTTCCATTGGAGATCGGCCTATAATTGACCCTACCCCCGATATAAGGTTCCTCTCAGAAAATTACTTTAAAACTCATAACTTGCTTCAAAATTCCAGTAACTTAGTGAAAGTAAACATAAACAACTTTTAGAGGAACTTAAATTTCTCTGCTAAATTTTATGGAGATCGGTCCATAATTGACCCTACCTCCATATAAGGTTCTTCTCTGAAAAAGGCTTTAAAGATCATAATTTAGACAAAATTTCAGTATATCAACGAAATTTACATAAAAATGTTTTGTAGAAACAAAAATCTCTCTACCAAATATTAAGAGAATAGGTCCATAATTGATTCTAATCAATTATATAAGGCCCCATCATAAAATGGCTTTAACGCTCATAACAATAACATAAACAACTTTTTCAAAATGAGAGTATAGCAACAAAATTCGACATAAACAAGTTTTAGAGGAACATCGTTCTACCTATCCCCTATAATGGTCCTTCTCATAGAACGACATTACCGGCCACAACTGGCTTAAAAATACTAGTATAGTGATAAAATTCGTTATGAACTAGTTTTATAGGATCTAAAATCTTTCTGTCAAATATTATGAGTATCGGGCCATATTGGATCAAAGCCTTGATATTTAACATAAAAAGTTTTATTGAAACCATTATTTATTTTCGGGCCTGTTGTGCGCTCCTTTATTTAGTTAGTTATGCTTAATTTCATCGCGATACTAATGGTTATAAGTAAATTTTTGGACGTTTAAGTTATTTTTTGTAACGACGGCCGATCATTATAAAAAATGACATTGTCATTTATGCCTATATATAAAACTTAGTTGTGCCAAATTTTGGTGAGATAGTAGTTATGAGTTAAAAACCCTAAATCGGAAGGTAAGGTTGTATGGGGGCTAGGTGAAATAATGGACTGATTTCAACCATTTTCAATAGGCATTGTCCTTGTGGCAAAAAACTCGTATGGTCTAAATTTTATCAAAAGATCTTGAAAATTGTGGCCTGTAGCTTGCGCACAAGGTTTACATGGACAGCCAGCCGGACAGACGGACGGACATGTCTTAATCAACTCAGAAAGTGATTCTGAGTTGATCGGTACACTTTAAGGTGGGTGTAGGACCAATATTTTTATGCGTTACAAACATCAGCACAAACGTATAATACCCTCCCCACTATAGTGGTGTAGGGTATAAAAACAAGACTTAAAGTTTAGCAAATATATATTTCATAATTTTTGCTACATTTAAGAACGTAAAGAATGAAAAAAATAATTTCTTCGAAACAATAACAACAATTATAAAATTCAACACTGATAAAAAACGCTAATGATAGAAAGATAACGATAATAGTGGAATTAATAAAACAAAAGTCCACGAAAGCCCCAATAGACAAAAGAAAAATTCTAAATAAATTAGATAAAAAAAAACTTTCCATTAACATACCATCCATTTCAATATCCATTTTAATTCGTAACATAATTGAGGTATAATTTTCACCCGGTGGTGTGGCCGGTATAATGCTGAATTTTAAAATCTTTTTAAAGTTCTCAACATCATTTTTGAGAATATTTTCGAAATATTTTTCATTAATCCACTTGGGTATGTCCAAATGAAGATTTGGATTAAATTTTGAACTGTTATCGGGCATGATCTTTATTTGTTTACACTTTACACTGTTTAATTAAGTACAATTGCGTTAGAACAAATATTTTGACGGTGGGGTCTCTTAGTAAGTTTTGTTCTAATAATAGAAATGTCTATTTATATTTTCAAATCAACATGGACAATTTAGCGTTGACAATGGGTTGATTATGCAGTTGTTTTTGTTTTTTTGTTTTTATTTCAATCTATTGTAATTTTATTTATTGTGTGAACAATTTGTGCGACTTTTTATTGTTTTTGTTTATATGTATCTTTATTTTTAATTTGAACAAAATGTATAAAATTATTTTATGCGCGTTTGTTGTTTTTGAAACGTCGTTTTATAACCATCAACTCTTTTGAATTGTTTTCAAAAATGCAATCATGCTCTCAGTAGAGTCAACTTTTTCGAAGCAGTTACATATAATATTTGTTTGTATTTCTTCTATTCTACTCGCTGAGTATTAGGAAATAAATACCCTACACCACTGTAGTGGGAAGGGGATTATGTGTTTGTGGTAAAGTATGGAACACACGCAAGTATAGAACTTACGCGACAGAATCTCTTTTTTTTTTATCGGTAAAATACTTGCTGAGTATGTTTTAGGGAATAAATACCCTACACCATTGTTTTGGAAAGGGGATTATGTGTTTGTGGTAATGTTTGCAACACACGCAAGTATAGATCATATCTGCCTCCCAGTGGATACAGAAACTATTTCTCAATCGGTAAAACGTTGTTTCCTTGTCCATCCATTTAGCCCATTTTGAAAATTTCCGCCAAGACTAGAGCATACAGCAAATGGTTAAAATTTGTTCACAATATCACCGATAACAAGTAAGAGTGTTATATTCGGCTATGCCGAATCTTTTATACCCACCATCAAATCAGTGCCATATAAATAAACTTATATTTTGAATATTTTATTATTATATGCCGATATTAATGAGAACATCAGGGAAATATTTGAAAGAGGTCCATTAATGGGGGTTTAACTATTACAGTGCTTTTTCGAATTAAATATATTAATTTATATAGAGAGTAGGGTTATTTACACATATATGGATTAATTCTCATAAAAGTCGGTAGGATGATTTCAGTTCCTTATTTATTTCAAAATTCATAGATCCATGTATTTGTATTTTTAAGCCAGTAATGAGAATTAAAGTAATTTTCTTAAAGGGACTTTATACGGGGTTAGGGTTAATTATTAATTAAATATGGTAAAGAGATTTTAACATAAAATTAGTTTATGTCGAATTGCATTGCGGTATTCGTATTTTTCGTTGTAGTAATTTTCTGAGGGGGAATTTATATGGGGAGGGGTTATAATGGACTGATCCTCATAAAAATTGTTAGAGAGATTTTGTACTCGCATTTTTAAGCCAGTAATGAGCGTTAAAGTAATTTTATGGAGGGGGCCTTATATGGGGGATAGGGTTAATTATGGACCGATCCACATAAAATTTGCTGGAAAGGTTTTGGCTCGTATAAGACATACTAATGTCAAATTTCATCGCTAAACTCGTACTTTTACGCTAATAATGAGCGTTAAAATAAAATTTTGTGGAGAGATATTGGCTTGCATGAAACCTAAGTATGTCGAATTTCATCGCTATATTCGTATGTTTAAGTCAGTAATCAGCATTATAGTCATTTTCAAAAGGGGACCTTATATGGGGGGTAGGACCAATTGTGGACCTGTGTCCGCCATAATTCAGGGTTTTAATTCGGAAGTTAGAAAACTGACTTGTGCGAAATTTTGTTGCATTTGCTTCATAAACAACGAAGTTGTGAATATTTGAAGCTCTTTATACAATATTCCGGGGGCTACCTACATTTGTATGGGGGCTATGTGAAATCGTTGACCGATTTTGTCCATTTTCAATACCAAACATTTCTGATGAATAAAAAATATTTTGGGAAAATTTCATCTCAATATCTCTTTTTTTGTGGACGCTATCGTGCCAACAACAGACAGACGGACTGACATAGCTAGATCGTCTTAGAATCTTACGAGGTCCCAGAATATATATACTTTATGGGGTCTGTGAAAAATATTTCCATGTGTTACACACGGAATGACAAAATCAATATACCCCCCATCTTTTTTGATGGTGGGTATAAAACGGATCTTTTAAATAGGAATTTTAAGTTTATAGTACGTAGGGTAAAATATCGGTCGATCATGTCGGGCTAAAATTTCTTGCTATAATTTTTATATTTTAGTGTAGCGTATTTACTTTTTGTCTCCTTAGTGTTGGTTTGTTGTTTTTGATTTTTTATCAATTTCAATTTCGTTGAGAGATAGCAGTACATACTAAAGTACTGATTACGTTCCTTTAATTTATAAACGATTTTGTTTTAGTATAAAGTTTAAATATACGTACATAGGGTTTTCGATACGGTATAATAATATAAAGTTTCAGATAAAGTAAATCGTTAGTTTGTTGGGTATTGAAAATGGGCAATATCTGTCTACCATTTTACTAACAAGTGGCTCCCCGGTATATGGAGTTAAAACAGCCTTAAATATGTTGTTTTTGCAGCGATCTTGATAAAATGTTGCATAATTTTAAAGTTCAAATAGCGGACATCGTACAATGTCTCTTTCAGATAATAACTTTAATATGTTAACATAAGTTTTATAAGAACTAAAATCTCTTTACCAATTTTCCAAAATAGCTTTTCATTTATTTCACCTCTAACTCTATTAAAAAGAACAGACAGTGGAACAAATATAGCAGACAGTATAAACAAATGTGCTACATGTGTAAATTGAAAAGTCAATATATATTGATAAAGTTGTTACAATACTTAGTAAGGTGTACGTACGAATGAGTCAGTGGATTGATAGTAATTATGTTTAACTTAATAGCTCAATATATACAGATACACATAATACATATTATGTACATATGTATGTACATACGTACATATGTAGTTAATAATTTCAATTTCTTGTATATATTTTTAATTAGTACAGCTTTTTCATTTCTAATGCACAGTGGTTTAGAAACGTATTTTTGGAAATCATTCGTTATCTCTAGAACTATTGGTTATATCGCAATAAAATTGCACATATTTGGAGCTGAGGGGTTTTCGAGTTGATTCACAGTAGGGTAGCCCCTCAAAGCTATATGGGCAATTTCGTGTCAAGTGACTTAAAAAATCAATTTGGGTGAAATTTGCATTAAGATTAGTACTATTGGATAGAAAAATTTTAAAAAAGTCTTTTTTTGGAAACACTGAAGAAATAGCTATCTAAACTCCTTTGGACAATTTTTGCTAGGACCAATGGGAAAATGTTATACTCATTTGAAAAATTGTCCAACTTTGACCCCTCTAACATCGGTATTTTTTGATCGATAGGCTTAAAATTTGTATCTAATAGTACTAACCTTGGTGCATATTTCATCCAAATCGATTTTTTGAGTTGGGTCACTTGATAGGAAATTGCTCATATGTAAAAAGGGGCCGTATTCTTTATTTTTTACGTATATCCGTAGTCTTTCACTATCACATGGTTAATAACATCACAGTGGGCATTTTTATCCAAAAAACGAATTTTTTGGAACATATTTTCACCGATTTAGGAATTTCGGTATTTGCAAATTGAAAATGAGAAAACTGATAATGATGTTATTTTAGAAAGATTTGGATCTATGTATAATATACATAGAACCATCATAAAACGAAACAAAGCTGGGTAAAATATTGAACTGAACATGAAAAATAGTGTTCAGTGGCATGTTACCTTAATGAAAGACCCCATCTTGGTGTTATTGCTATCAGTACCTCTAGTTTTCCGGGACTTTAAAACTGGGGATGATCAAATATATCCTCGGCCTTTACTTAGAATGATTTGACATGGGGTCGAACCAGAGAACCACATAATCTGGTACTACGGTAAGCGGTTGCACGCAGGGCCGATTTTGTGAATGTCGGTTAAAATACTGATGTACGGTAAAGTCTATATGTAATTCGGGATAAGTTCGGTGCTGTTGCCTAAGTCAATAGATCCCACACAGAGGAGCGACTGTGAGACTAAGCATTGGAAACGAGTTGATGTTAAGTATTTATGATACGGGATGAATGAAGGGGTATACCGAACTTACCCACCCGTACACCTAGTGTGAGTGTGTCGGATGTTGTTCTCTATAAGTATGTCTTATGAATGAGAAGTTAATCACAGTTTGAATTTTTCTTTCTTGTCCAGGTATGTTAAAGGTTTACTCTGTTCATACCGGATTTACCATATGTGTTGTCTGTGAGTAAGAACAAGTCCTCAGATTATTTGATGGATTCGTGTTTTGGTCTACCGAATACGATTCTAGGTGCTGTTCCCTACTCAACATATGCCATCTCATCTTCGTGGTTGTAAACGTAAATGATGTTTTTGCATCTCGGAAGTTAAGTAACGGAGTACACGGACCGGCAACAATGGGGCGGTGGTGGGTCGTGTAGACAGCTCACCCTGTGGTTGAAAAAGTACCACCGTGAAATAAGGTTAACACGGCAGTTGTTCACGTAAAGCACATCGACATCTTGTTATTCAACACCTCAGTTTCAACCATTTGAAATTTCGTTACGACATCTCACATAGTTCCAGAGATACCAAATTATGTTTTTTTTTTCAAAATAAAAGTTTCTAAACCACTGTGCAATGTTAATAAATGTTTATATTAACATATCTGCTGTAAGAAAATAAGTGGTTGGGTGTGAAATACCCAGCAAAAGCTTGCTAATGACTTTTAATTGTAACAACTTACTTATACATTACATGACTACTACATAAGTATTACATATTGTAGTCTAATATCTTAGTAATACAAATACTTTTTAATTCAATAATATAGGCCGACAAATTCTCGAAGGAGAAAGATATTAAGTCAGATGTTAAGCCTTTATTTTAAAGTTGATAGAATGAATTTAAAATAATTATGAAGTCAAAAGCCCTATTCGGGGGGTCCGGTTGTATGGGGGCTACGTGAATTAATGGACCCATTTCAACGAACAGCGTTCGTCCGTGGACCGACCAAAAGAGGCGTACGCCGACAAATTTCATCAAATTATCTAAAAATTGCGACCTTTAGAGTGCGCACATGGTTTACATGGACACACAGACGGACATACATAGCTTAATCTACTCAGAAAGTGATTCTGAATCGATTGATATACTTTAAGCTGGGTGTAGTACTAATATTTTTGGGTTTTACAAACATCAGCACAAACGCATAATACCCTCCCCATTATAGTGGTGTCGGGTCACATTTTCTTATATTTTATCTTTGCTCTTTGTTTACTATCGATTACAGCAGCTAAGTTTTAATATTTGTTTTTTGTCAAAAATATTAAGCGATTATAAATTAAATACTCGTATTTATGATAAGAAATAATAAGTGAAGAGAGCAGATAAAATTGAGAGTTTAAAAGCTTGTGGTGGATTTTAAAAAGAGGTGAGAATGTAGTATTTTATAGATAATATAAAAAACCCGTTAGTTAGATTAACATTTCAAATAAAAAAGCTTTTATATTAATTGATATAATTAACTTTTCGTTCACAGTATTGTTCAGTATCAAACTGTTTGAATATAATTCAGTTTTTTGAATATATAAAAATCATTTGGGACCATAAATTACTCTATTATATGATATTTCTACAAAATTTGGCTAAACGACTAATCGGTATATAAATAATAATTAATTTTTCATCATAGTCCGTAAAATTAAAGACCCCTCTTCTATAAAAGAAAGGAAATATATCTTTCATTGCATCCACATAGCGGGGATTTGTAAAAGCTTTCATGCGAAATTGTTCACCGATATCATCCGGACGAGAAAATGTATGAATACTGGCATCTTTATCACTGGGCAGCATGACAGCAGCCAAGTGATTAAAGCAGGCGAAAAATGCTAAACAAAAAGTAAAGTATTAATTATTAATAATTAATAGTTACTAATTAAATATTTAATGGACTTACCATAAAACGAATTCCTTTGATCAAACATATCCATTTGTAAATCCCTTAATTTGGGTAGAGACTTTTTGAAACTTAAAGCTTTTAAACATTCCACTAAACGTTCATGATAAATAGAAATAAAATGATCAAATTCTTTGATTCTTATATCTTTGGCAGAGGAAATTGTTATGAAAAATAAAAGATCTTCAGCCGGACTACCCCCATTTACAGATTTGAAAATCCAAAAATATTAAATCATTTAACAGCCCATTAGGTAAATATGAAAACATAATATTACTAGACCAAAAATCACCATGAGTTAGGACATTAAATTTGTTGGTTTTTTGTTGTAAAGTGCTTAGACAGCATTTCCAATATTGATCGAAAGTGGGCTAAAATAATATTTAAAAAAATTAAAAGGAAAATTTGATTCCTTAACTAAACTACTTACAAAATTCTCTAAATATTTATGCACATCTTCTAGACCCCATTGCAGCATGGCTTTCTTGTAAGCTCCCACTTTAGTAAGGAATACATTTTTTTGAAATTCTGCTCCAAACTCAGGATCTACAAAACCAATCTGAAAATCTTTTGGATAATCACCATTTTGTTCCTCATAAACTGCACTGGCTGCATGAAATTCAGCTAATCTTCTAAGTATTTGCTTCATATGCTGCATATCACAACCTTGTAAACGATCTAAATTTTTATAGTTCTTCTCACTTAAATCCTCAAAAACAAAATTAATACGTCCATTCTTTTTTTCGGTAAATAAACATTTCGGAGCAAATTGTATATGCCAACCTATAGCTGTATAAAGTTGTTCAAATGCCGGTAAATATTTATGATACATTTCCATTTCTTTGGGAAATAAGGCTAATTTATTGATAACTTCACCACCTTTATCATCGTCTAACATGGTTTTTAAAACATACGTTTTACGTTTGTAACTTCCATCTGAAAAGGTTTTTTGTAAAGTTAAGTTTTTGCAAGAAAATAATAAAAATATCTTAATACCTTTCATTTCTAAATCCATGCGCAACATAACCGAGGTAAAATTCTCTCCTGGCGGTATAGCAGCTGTAGGTGTGAACTCTTTTACCGCTACACATTCTGGTTCATCTTGGGTTAAAATATTTTTAAAATAATCGACACTAATCCATGATGGTATTATGATATTTTCATTTGGATTTAAAATTTGCGTTTTATTTTCCATTTTAAATGGAATCAAATTTTCTAAACTGTTGAACTATACTGATCTGCGAATAAAGTGAAACTAAATTCTACGAATATCTCATCAAACCACACACTAGAGTAGTTAAGAGCGTGAGCAAGCAAAAAAATATACAAATGAACATACATACATATATGTTTTGTTTTAATTAAAAAACAAGTAAGAATGCATAGTCGGGCATGACCGCCATATGATACCCTACACTAATGATCATGTTGAAAATGTGGATCAGTTTTTTAATAATAAAGCATTTAATTCCATTTTTACCTTAATTCAGAAATATTTTAACAATTTATTAATAAAAAAGAGATTTTCTAAAAAAAGGGGTTATATGGGTTTAATATGGGCCTACCCTTATACATATATTTTAGTAGAGGGATTTACGACTACATTAAAGTTATTTGTGCAGAATTTCACTGGGATATTAGTGTTTATAAGTGAATTTTGAACTTTAAGTCATTTTCTGAAGTGGACTTTGTACGGGGCTAAGGGTCAAACGAGTCCCGATCATTACGATTATTGGCAGTATCATTTAGACTTATATAAAACTAAGTTTTGCCAATTTTTGGAGAGATATTTATGAGCTCAAAAGCCCTATCCGGGGGTACGTTTGTATGGGGTCTAGGCAAAATAATGGGCCAATTTTAACCATTTTCATTAGACTACGCCTTTGGGTCAAAAGAAGAGTACGTGCAAAATTTCATCAAATTCTCTTGAAAATTGCTACACGTAGCGTGCGCACAAGGTTTACATGGACACAAAGACAGACAGACAGACAGACAGACGGACATAGCTAAATCGACTCAAAAAGTGATTCTGAGCCGATTAGTATACCTTAAGGTGGCTGCAGGGCCAATATGTGCTAAGAGTATGAGCTAAATTTCATCAAATTGTCTTGAAAATTGCGACCTGTAGCGTGCGCACAAGGTTTACATGGACCCACAGACGGACAGACAGACAGACGGACATAGCTAAATCGAACCAAAAAGTGATTCTGAGCCGATTAGGCCAATATTGTTTGGTGTTATAAACGTAAGCACAAACGCATAATACCCTCCCCACTATAGTGATGTAGAGTATAACAAATAGGAAATTAAAGGTGGTGGGCTTAGCCAACCATATTATACCCTACACCTGAGGAGAGTGACACTGTATAGGTAGTGATTCTTATGATTAATCACGCTTTTCTAAGGTTTATGTCAATTTATATTAAAACAACAAAATTTACATAACAAACTATTTAAATTTTGTAAGAATATCTAATATGAAATCTAGGTCCAATAATGTCGGTTGGACCAATATTGTTAAATCATCAGATTCCGAAAATACCCATGTCAAATTTATATATTTACCTATATTATATTCTGACAATATATACAAATATTACCTGAGTAAAAGATCAACATTTCAATATTTTACAAAAGAAAAGATTATTTCAATATATCTACCATTTCAACAAATTTCAAGGTATAATTTATCGTTTAAGTCGTTGTTTTGCTACTACTACTACCCACTTGGAAATACATATCAATCATTGTATACACATTATAAGTAATTACACAATTTAAAAGTTTTATTGTAAAACAAATTATTATTTAATTTTTAAAGTAATATTAAACGTTACTTAAATATTATTTAATTTCATTAAACTGCAACTGTAATATGTATAAAAATATTTTCATAAACCTTGAACTCTAAAATTGTTTTCAATTATAATATTTTTATAACCACCTTCCAAAAAGTTGAGGTTATATTGATTTTGTCATTCCTTTTGTAACACTTCAAAATATAGGTCGTAGACCTATAAAAGTTTTTATATTCTGGGTTCTGATTAAGTTCTAAGCCGATCTAGCTATGTCCGTTTGTCTGTTGAAAGTGCGATAGAGTTTTGCTGACATTTTCCATGGATCGGTTGATGTTCAGTATAGCTATGAAATTCGACATAAATAAGTTTCATACAAACTACAATCTCTCTAAGAAATTTTATGAGGATCGGTTCATAATTAACCCTACATCTATAGAGGTCCCCTTCAGAAACAGACATTTTCATATAGAATTTCATGAAGATAATAAATAAGATGTAATCTCATGACGATCGGTCCATAATTGACCATAGATCTCTATAAAGTCGTTTTCAGAATAAAAGAGTTATTTTTTGGATAATAACAAAAGTCTCGATTTATAAATATCAAGGTTTATACTATAAAGGTCAGCCTCCACCGAAATACTCTTTTTGCTTGATGATGAGTATTTAAGATTCGGCATAGCCGAATATATTTCTCTAACTTGTTTGTTAATAAATCTTATCTTTGAAGTGTTTTAAACATTTGTTTTTACTGTTAATTATTTATTAAAGTATATTATTATGCACTTTTAAAATAGCTTTTTGGAGTATGGTATTTATGATTTAAATATTTACCTTCTAGTAGTTATTCATGAAAAGTGTGCATAGTTTGTTTGTACCCGAAAAACACCATCAAAATAATAATCACTTCAAAATTACACTTTGCTTGCGTCCACGGCACACGACCTTAAAACAGATTTGTTTTAAAAGTTGAGAGAGTATTATGCGTTTGTACTGATGTTTGTAACGCATCAAAATATATGTTCTAAATCATCTTAAACTATAAAAATCGGCTCAGATCGGCACACTTTCTAAGTAACATCATGTCCACGAAAAACTTGGGCGTAATATTTAGAAATATGCAAATCGTAAACATTTATCCATAAAAATCTGCGAAATAGGTTCAGAATATAACTCGTTATGATAATTTCAGAATTTTTTCTTAATCTTAGCAATATTTTGTTATGGCTCATATGTAGCTTCAAAACATTGATAACTCGCATTAGATTCTCCAGTTTATAAGTATCCAAAAAAGGCCCAGGTACTAAAAATATGAAAACCAATTAAAAACTAAAAGTTATCTTTCCCGGATATTTGATAAATAACAAGTTAATCTTAAATACCCTCTACCTGTAACCTATTTTAATTGACAACCCATCTAAATAATTTTATATATTTAATCAATTCTGAAAGTTTAAATTTTGCTTCCATGATGAGGGTGCTATCATTTAGATATCATTAGCAGTTGCTTTATACATCTATGGAGCTAACTTTGATCAAGTCTATAACTAACGAAGAAATACATCTAGGCCTCTATCGGGCCTGTTGTGCGCTCCTTAACCAGTGTCTCAGGTGGGAATCGAACCCACCACCTCCTGTCTACCAGACAAGAACACCAACCACAAACCTACCGGAAGACACAAAAAATACACATGTTTATTTGTATAGCCATATCTCTTTTTGTCACTGATATATGTGTGTATAAGTAATTTTCGGAAGTGGACCGGAGACTAGACAAATTATAGGCCTATACAGAAAAAAATTTGCGTGTGATTTGTATATTTTTTGTATATTTATGCGGAATTTAAGTCCGATATCTTTGTTTATGCGATTTTCGGAAGTGAATCTTATATCGGAGCTATGACCAATTATGAACCGATTAATAAATATTTCTCAGAGTGGTTTATATCTCTTTTAAGCATATTCATTATGAATTTTATACCTATATCTTCATTCAGTAAAGAAATATATCCGTTTACGTGGTTATCAGAAGTGGGCTTTATATGCGAGCTATATCCAATTATGGACCGATGCGGAAAAAATTTGGTAGAATCATATATGTATACACAAAACATATTTATTCTAATATCTTTATTTCTTAATTAGTTATGTGTAATTAAGTGATTTCCACTTCCGAACCTTATATGGGGAGCTATAACCAATTATAGACCAATACAGATCTATGTTGGTAATATAATTTCTGTTCACAGAGTTGTGGGGATTTCGATAATTTTGAAGAAGTTATTAACGATATATCCATTTCCGAGAATATGTACCTTTGTATTGGAGCTATGCGAAATTTGGAGCGATTGTTTTGATTTTTAACATAATTGATCCCTGGAAGAAAAAATAATGTGTTTGGCAATTCATCGAATTGTCTTCAGTAGTTTTTGAGAAAACTACTCGAGAATTAAGAAAAAGAATTAAAAAAAAACGTGAATGAAAAGAAAGATATTGGAGACTGGTCATAGATGAATATTAGTTTCGGGATATCAAAATTTATATAGATAACTGTATGTTTCTATGAGCTTCATGTTTATTTATCAATCCGATTTTTGAATTCTTTATTTATACACTTTTAAAAGTTTAAATAAATATATTTTACATATTCCCGTAAAAGATATTATATACAAGTTATGTTTAAATAATTTAATATATATGTATAGATTTATAATTTGTACATTTGCTAATAAATTATGAAAAAAAAAATTAAATATTTTAATACTTTTTCGACGTTATATCAAAAATACCCTTATTATCTAAAAATGGATAAAATTGCAGCATAGCTTTTACATAAATGGGATTAGTGAAACACTTAAAACGGAATGCATCGCCCTCAGGACCAGGTTTCATAAAATTATCCATATTAGCGTCTTTATCGGAAGGAAATAAAATAGCTGGGGTTATGGTATTAGCAGTAAATACAGCTGTGGAAAGAATTTTTTCAGTTATAAATAATATTAAAATTTTGATTAAAAAGTAGAACTCACCCCAATAACCGTATTTCAACATATTAATATGAAGTTCTTTTAGTGAAGGAATTTTTTTTGAATACTTAAGCTTTTTAAGACATTTTACCAAATGTGTATGATATATTTGTATGAAATGATCAAATTCTTTAATTTTTATATCCAAACTGACAGAGGTGGAAATCATATACCACAGATCTTGAACCGGTGAACCCCATTTACATATTTGAAAATCAACAAATAAAGATTCTTTCACATCTTCATCATGGACAAACATAATATTATTGGACCAACAATCGCCATGATTAAGCACATTAAATTCATCTGGTTTTACTGTATTTATGAATAAATTTTCATCAAAGTATTCATCCAATGTAGGTGTTCGCTCAATATATCTTTCTACATTTTCCAAACCCCATTCTAGTAAAGCTTTCTTGAACAATTCGGAACGTGGTTTATATAATTCAGCAAACATGGGACGATTTGCTTCGGTAAAGAAACTAGCGTTGTATATGGTTTCATAAGGTCCATTTAATTCCTCATAAACAGCCGAAGCTGCATGAAATTCAGCCAATTTATGTAGAACAATTTTCATATGATCCATATCGAAACCTTTTAAACGATCAATATTACCGAAATCTTTACGTTTTAAGTCCTCCATTACTAGAGTTATCTTTTCAGGTGTTTCATCAAAATGTATACACTTCGGTCCCAGTTTAACTTGCATACCTGCTTGTTTATAGAGTTCTTCAAATTTGGGTATATAATTGGCATACATTTGTTTCTCTTTGGGAAAGAGATTTGCGGCTGCTACAAAAGCTGCACCACTACTACTAGCATCCAAAACAGTTTTTAAAATATATGAAACTTCTTGAGAACTGCCATCTGTAAATGAGAAATAAAATCCATACAAAAAATGTTAAGCTGAAATTATTTGCTATATTTACCTTTTAATTCTACATCAATTATAACACGAACCATTATCGATGTATAATTTTCGCCCGGTGCTGTAGCAGCAATAGGTGTGAACTTTGTAATGCATTTAAAATCGGTTACATCTTTCTCCAAGATAGGCACAAAATAATCCTCATTTATCCATTTTGGTATATTAAGATACTCATTGGGATTAACAATCTTTCCTGCGCTCGTGTTTGGTGACATTTTTAATTAAATTTAATCTAAATTAAGAAAAATTATATAATTGATTAAAAATTATATACAGTAGTATTTAAATAGATTAAATAATTTTAATTACAATTCCATTCACATATTGTACGTGTATCTGTTTTCAGCTTGTTAACAATTCTAAAGAAATATTTTTATATTTGAAAAAAAAAAAATGATTTATGAATATTCAGTACGGAACAGCTACAAATGATTTGTTTGTTTTAACAAATATGGATGAATAGAAAAATTTTGCGACAAAAAATACAAACGAAATTAAAATAAACTCAAATGTGTTTCTGAATAGTAATTATATGAATTATAATTAGATTTTGTAGTTTTGCAAAAATATGTTTATAAATCGGGCTTGTTCAATCAGTTTGAAACAAGTGCGTAGATTGTTAATGATGTATATAATTACTAATAATTATTCTTCTTTGTAATTTTACATTTTATAATCATAATTATTTACAGATTAAAAAGATAATAAACCCAGCAAAAACTTACATTGAAAAGTAATGAGTTTAGAAGCAAAACAAGTAGGAAAGTATAGTCGGGCATGACCGACTATATAATATCCTACACCATGAGTATATTTTCAAAATTATTTAAACTTTTATGTGGAAATTTATTTACCTTAATTCCGATGTATTAAAGCAATTTATCGTTGAAAAACTAAATTTCTAAAAGTGGCATTATATGGGAGTTAGGAACAAATATGGAAAGAGGGATGTATTTTTATATAAAGGTTATTTATGCTGAAATTACGTTTTCGTAATTTTTTAGAGGGTGCTTTGTATGGGGGCTAGGGTCAAACGACGGCAGATCATTTATGGCTATGTAAAACTTAGTTGTGCCAATCTTTGGGGAGATAGTAGTTTATTTGACGTAGTTATGAGTTAAAAACCTTTAATCGGAAGGTCAAGTTGTTTGGGGGCTAGGTGAAATAATGGACCGATTTCATCAACCATTTTCAACAGATATCGTCCTTGTGGTCCAAATTTTATCAAAATATCTTGAAATATATAGTTAGTTAGTTAGTTAGTTAGTTAGTTAGCTAGTTAGTTAGTTAGTTAGTTAGTCAGTTAGTCAGTTAGTCAGTTAGTTAGTTAGTTAGTTAGTTAGTTAGTTAGTTAGTTAGTTAGTTAGTTAGTAGTTAGTTAGTTAGTTAGTTAGTTAGTTAGTAGTTAGTTAGTTAGTTAGTTAGTTAGTAGTTAGTTAGTTAGTTAGTTAGTAGTTAGTTAGTTAGTAGTTAGTTAGTTAGTTAAGTTAGTTAGTTAGTAGTTAGTAGTTAGTTAGTTAGTTAGTTAGTTAGTTAGTAGTTAGTTAGTTAGTTAGTTAGTTAGTTAGTTAGTTAGTTAGTTAGTTAGTAGTTAGTTAGTTAGTTAGTTAGTTAGTTAGTTAGTTAGTTAGTTAGTTAGTTAGTTAGTTAGTTAGTTAGTTAGTTAGTAGTTAGTTAGTTAGTTAGTAGTTAGTTAGTTAGTTAGTTAGTTAGTAGTTAGTTAGTAGTTAGTTAGTTAGTTAGTTAGTTAGTTAGTTAGTTAGTTAGTTAGTTAGTTAGAGTTAGTTAGTTAGTTAGTAGTTAGTTAGTAGTAGTTAGTTAGTTAGTTAGTAGTTAGTTAGTTAGTTAGTCAGTCAGAGTTAGTTAGTTAGTAGTTAGTTAGTTAGTTAGTTAGTAGTTAGTTAGTTAGTGTTAGTTAGTTAGTTAGTTAGTTAGTTAGTTAGTTAGTTAGTTAGTTAGTTAGTTAGTAGTTAGTTAGTAGTAGTTAGTTAGTTAGTTAGTTAGTTAGTTAGTTAGTTAGTTAGTAGTAGTTAGTTAGTTAGTTAGTTAGTTAGTTAGTAGTTAGTTAGTTAGTTAGTTAGTTAGTTAGTTAGTTAGTTAGTTAGTTAGTTAGTTAGTAGTTAGTTAGTAGTTAGTTAGTTAGTTAGTAGTTAGTTAGTAGTTAGTTAGTTAGTTAGTTAGTTAGTAGTTAGTTAGTTAGTTAGTAGTTAGTTAGTTAGTTAGTTAGTTAGTTAGTTAGTAGTTAGTTAGTTAGTTAGTTAGTTAGTTAGTTAGTTAGTTAGTTAGTTAGTTAGTTAGTTAGTTAGTAGTTAGTTAGTTAGTAGTTAGTTAGTTAGTTAGTTAGTAGTTAGTTAGTTAGTTAGTAGTTAGTTAGTTAGTTAGTTAGTTAGTTAGTTAGTTAGTTAGTTAGTAGTTAGTTAGTTAGTTAGTTAGTTAGTTAGTTAGTTAGTAGTTAGTGTTAGTTAGTTAGTTAGTAGTTAGTAGTTAGTTAGTTAGTTAGTTAGTTAGTTAGTTAGTAGTTAGTTAGTTAGTTAGTTAGTTAGTTAGTTAGTTAAGTTAGTTAGTTAGTTAGTTAGTTTAGTAGTTAGTTAGTTAGTTAGTTAGTAGTTAGTTAGTTAGTTAGTAGTTAGTTAGTTATAGACTACTAAACGGCCAATTTTCTTGTAATTTCCACAGCCGTATTTCTGTATGTATGGAATAGGTAATAGGCTACTTTCTATTTTTAAATTTCAAGTGGGCGAGGAGCCACGCCCATATTAAGAAAATATTAAATCCGTATATTTGAGATAATATAACAGTTAGAGTCCTCAAATTTTGTCGGAGCCACTTTAGTGTCAATATGATTATTTAGGACAAAAAGTTAAATTCAAAAATTCTGGAAAACTATTGTAGTTAGAATCTTCAAAATCGTTAAGTGGGTTTTTTATTTATGATGCTTTTAAGGTAGCAAAGCACTCTGGGTATAGCTAGTATTAAAATAATAAAAACTATTTCCTTTTCCAAAGGGCCATAGTTCCCTACCAGCGATTTAAAATCCAGATCTGTATTTATAAGCAAAAAATTGCGAAAATTTTGACACCTATATTTAGGTTTCAGTTATATGATGTAGTCGGATATACTTTCTTATTTGTTTGATGGTATATTTTAATTACTATTTAAATTATTTTATCATTAACGCCAAGTTCAGTATTCATTATAATTACACAATTTCCGGTTGTTTTACTTATATAATATGCGACTTTAATAACCCCCTATGTTGATTTTTCAATAGAACTTAAAACAGGTATTTTAACATCAATAAAGGCATTAATCTCGAGTGTTTTTATCTCATACCTTTAATTATAAACTTCGCTAATTACTTTTAAATTACTTTATTACAATGTAAGATTAAAACCTTTAACCCATTTTCTTTATTTCAGGTTATATTATATATATAATTACCCAGGCTAACAAATGTTTAATCCAGAGAACAAAGTATACTTTTCTACAGAATTGAACTCCGCTGTATCCGATTCTTAAATATAGGAAACAAAAATGGGGAGTTTTTAATTTTTAGCATACGAGATCTCGAAACCTTCTGAGACCAGATTCGAATTCACATCAATTATTTAGAAATTTATACTTTGGTATCTCGGTTTCGACTTTTTGTGTTGGCCTGTGTTATTTAAAACGCAAGTATATCTTAACTATAAACGATAAATAAAAGTTGAGATAATGGGGCTATATATTACCAGTTGGGGTTATGCAATTAAATTCACTTTACGAAACAAAAACTTTTTTTTTGACAAAAACTGAATGTTAATTTTAAATTATTATTGATATTAACGTTTTGAAATACTTTTAAATTTTATTGTAAATTTTGTCACATTTATTCTAATATGTAGATTTATTGTATAAACTTCAGTTCATACTTGTTTTTTAACAATTAGTAAAAATTTGCATAAAATTTCAATACAAACAATGATAGAAAACAGAATTAATTATTGAAATATTTGTTCTTTCAATAAAATTTATTTACTCACATCACAGTTTGTTTCTTAAAAAAAAAATAAAAAAAATTCACTGTTTAATAAAAACTAGAAGAAACTTGTCAATTCTTCAAGATGCTCGTAAAATTTAAAACAAACAATGGAAAATAATAAAAAACTTTTTTTAATTCTAGCAGTTGAATAGCGAGCAAAATTATCGTGTTGTCGCGTGTCCGAATCTTATAGATATGAACAATGTAGCTGAAAATTTCAAATTCATACGAGTACGAACTAAACTAGATATTAGGAGAGAGTTACTTACTAGTGACTTAATGAACTAATAAAGCAACAACAATGTATAAAATACAATAAAAAGGTACAACAACAATAGTGCAAATAGTGGAAAAAAACATGTTGTGGTAGGGCGGATATAGCGGTAATCAAACAAAATCATTATATAGTCAAACATTAATCAAAGATTTGTTTTCAATGAGTGTGTGTTCGTCTGAGTTACGATTGGATGTTCATATAATAGTTTTTTTAAGCTCCCATCAAATAAATTTTGAATATCATTGCAAAATTGATCAGCGACACCAAACAAGTATTCTAAATCGGTATTGTCCGACTATATGATTCCCTACACCAGTTGGAGTAAAATAAAAATGTTATTTATTTTTAACAATAAAGTATTTATGTTGAATTTATGTTAGTGGAATGATTTTTTGAGAAACGATTTGTATGAGGCCTAGCGATCGATCATAGAAAAACGAGGAGGGATTTATGTTTATATAAAAGTTATTTATGTCGGATATTATCGTGTTTATAAGTGCATTATGGACGTTAACATTTAGGTCTAATTATGCTGATGTAGATCCGAAACTATTTAAATTCATGAAAGTGACTTTGCTTTCAGAAATCGGCATTCTCTGGTGTAGAGATTTAGATAGTTATGGAACTTATTTAAGTCGAATTTCATTGCTTTAGAGAAGCACTACGACCTTTATTGTTACTGTAATTCAGAAGCAACTGAAGAGGACCTTATATAGGTGTTTTTCGGGATATTTAAAGATACGAATAAACTTTAATGTCTAACGACAGCGACAATAAAAAGTCTTATTGTGTACTACTTTGAGCCAACAATGAACAAAACTTAATGTGAATTTTGATCAGCATAATGAAATTTATACTTTCACATATGTACATTAGGTTGTCCCGTGCATAATTTTTATGTAAGAATGTCTCTCAAGCGTTACGAAAAAAATATAGTTAGGCCCTCAGTTCCCTACCAGCGATTGAAAATCTTGATCTCAATGCAATATGTTCAAAATAATTTTCTGCAATCTTTTCGAAATGGTTCTCAAAAATTCCGTAATTTTTAGCATATCGGGGGAAAAATTATAAAATGTTTTGTTAAATTATATCTGGTCCGAAAGAGGCATACAAATTTCTATATAATCCAAAAATTATGGCTATTTTCACACCTATTTCGACAAAAAAACCATTCCAACAAAATAAAAATAATTTTGTGGACCAGGAGATTATTAAAAAGACTGTTCCTCGGGACACTCTAATCATATTAAATTTTCAGCGTTTATGCAATAAACTTGTTATTGACATTGAGTTTAATTGAAAAGAATTATATTTTGTAGAATTTATATTTTAATTAATGTGTTGGTCCAATTATTAATAAATTTTTATTAATCATATATGTATGAGTATTCACACAAAACTATTAAATATGTAAGAGAATACATATTTTAAATTAATTTAGATGGTGGGAACTAAATTAATTTTAGTTGTGTTAGGTGGCTCTATACAAGGACTTAGTAGGTCTTAGAAGTTTAATGGGGGCTTGTATTAATTATGGACCGGCATGTACAGTGTTTAAAATATTGTATAATATCATCCGAAAAGTATAATTATGTTTGTGTTAATTCGAACGATTTATTTACAATAACCATATTTTCTTCAAGAGGTGTTATATAAGGGATAGAGTGAGATGGAGAGATGGAGCGATTCTCAAATCATTTTAGTGTAAATGTTTTGTTTCCTATAAAACTTATTTTTCTCGCATATTTTTAAGCCTATTATGAGTTTTGAAATCATTTTCGGAAGGGAACAACAGGATCACTTATGGACCGATCCACATAACATTTGGTAGAGAGAATTTAGTTCCGATAATAATAGCTTATGTCTAATTTCGATGCTATATTGAAATTACTAAAGCAGTTATATGCATTAAAGTTATTTTGTTTATGGGTCCTTATATGAATAATAGGGTCAATTATGGTCCAATGTCTGCAATACATTACAATATTATGGTTGCGTAAAATTGATTTTTGCAAATTTTAATCATAATTGCTGTATATATACTTATTTATGGCTCTTAAAACTGTATTTGGAGGGGCCACTGGTAGGGGGGCTAGGTGAAATCGTGAACCGAAGTCATAATACTAAAACAACAAACAGTCAGACGGACGGACGGAAAGACAGACGGATAAACAGACAGGCAAGACTAGATACTTTTTGACAAATATATCGACAAAATCAATATAGTACCCATTTTGTAATGGAGGTTATACAGATATTCTGATTTCAAAAAAATAATTCATATAAGCTTAAATATTTTTTTTCAGTGTAGATATAAAAAACGAGTATGTTTTAAAAATTTGCATTTTTCTTATTATGACAAAACCTGAACTTTGATCATGACACGCCATTCAGTTTTTGAACAGACAGTTAAAATATATACATACGTATGTATGTATGTGTACATATAGTAGTATCTAGTTTACGCGATAAAATTTGAAGCAAAATTTTTGTTTACTTACTTTTTGACAATATATAAATTCTTTTATCTATAATATCTTAAAATTTTTAATCAATTTCCAAATGAAAAAGTTAAGAATTTTAATAACTTTTTATAAATCATAATAATCATCATGAAAAATACATTGAATAACTTTTTTTTAAATAATATAAAAAAATCATGCTGTAATGTTAGCAACAAAAGCTGTTTTACTATATTTAGTCATTAGAGTGTTAAGTTAATTAATTAACAATTAAAACGTATCTCAAATATTTATAAACAGGTTTTTTTTAACTTTTGTCAAAATAAATTTACTTAAATTTTGCTTAGTCATCATAACATTTTTACATTCGATATAATACACATTTTAATATACTCTCTGAAATTGTGTTTTTATTAGGGGTATAACTTTTATAAATTTTTTTCATTGGATAATTTGTGGATTCCATCAGTTTCTAACAGTTTTTCATAAAGTTAGTTTTGTTAAAGAAGTAGCATTTTAAGTGATGACATTGCATGCAAGTACTTACACGCTCGCTTACAAATAGGTAGTTAAATAAGTACTTACCACGATCGTTTGCTAATAAGCTAAGGAAGTTGTTTTATTAAAAAATAAACGAAGAGTCCACAAATGTATGAGTTTTAACACGGTATTCTTTCTGTATGAAAATTTACTTGGGACAAAGTGAAGTCATAGACTGATTTCGCTTATTTTTATTGTTTTGAATGTCAATTTTTTGATAGAGTTATAAAGGAAATTATCATGTTACTAAAAATAAACAAATTAACATTTTACAATCACAGTAATTTTAATACGAAACAACAAAGTAATAGTTATAATGGCAAAGAAACAAAATATTAATTTAAAATCAATTATAAACAAATTATTTCCAGTCGAGCAAACCGCGGTTATCCAACCATGGTAAAATTTCCGACATGGCTTGAACATACTTATGATTACTAAACATTGCTGTCTTCATTTTCGACTCATCATGTATATAATTTTCTAAATTGGCCTGATCGGTCTTTTCCAAAATGACAACAGGCAAGACTTTCGAAACAACCATGTAAGCTGTAATATATAAAACAAACAAATTTCAGCACAACAAGTTACTTTTAAAGATATAATTAAACTTACCCGCCAAACCATTTTTCATTAAGGCAATATGAATATTTTTCAATTTCGGCAGGGGACGATGATATTGTAAAAGTTTTAAATTCTCCACCAAACGTTCATAATAGAAACGTATCATGTAGTCGAACTGTGTAAGTTTTATATCCTTTTTGGCAGATGATAATATAAAATAATATAGATCGTTGGCTGGAGAACCATATTTGCCCACTTGAAAGTCCACCAATAAGGTATTTTTTATTTTACCGAATGCATCGTATTGGAACATTATGTTATTTGACCAACAATCACCATGATTTAAAACATTAAATTCACGAGGATTTACCTTTTGATCTTCCAACAAGCGATCAACCAAAAAATCATCACTGTCAGCCTGTGGATTAATAAATAAAATGGTTTTTATAAAAGTCTATGTATCCATCCATCCATCCATCCATCCATCCATCTATCTATCTATCTATCTATCTATCTATCTATCTATCTATCTATCTATCTATCTATCTATCTATCTATCTATCTATCTATCTATCTATCTATCTATCTATCTATCTATCTATCTATCTATCTATCTTCTATCTATCTATCTATCTATCTATCTATCTATCTATCTATCTATCTATCTATCTATCTATCTATCTATCTATCTATCTATCTATCTATCTATCTATCTATCTATCTATCTATCTATCTATCTATCTATCTATCTATCTATCTATCTATCTATCTATCTATCTATCTATCTATCTATCTATCTATCTATCTATCTATCTATCTATCTATCTATCTATCTATCTATCTATCTATCTATCTATCTATCTATCTATCTATCTATCTATCTATCTATCTATCTATCTATCTATCTATCTATCTATCTATCTATCTATCTATCTATCTATCTATCTATCTATCTATCTATCTATCTATCTATCTATCTATCTATCTATCTATCTATCTATCTATCTATCTATCTATCTATCTATCTATCTATCTATCTATCTATCTATCTATCTATCTACTATCTATCTATCTATCTATCTATCTATCTATCTATCTATCTATCTATCTATCTATCTATCTATCTATCTATCTATCTATCTATCTATCTATCTATCTATCTATCTATCTATCTATCTATCTATCTATCTATCTATCTATCTATCTATCTATCTATCTATCTATCTATCTATCTATCTATCTATCTATCTATCTATCTATCTATCTATCTATCTATCTATCTATCTATCTATCTATCTATCTATCTATCTATCTATCTATCTATCTATCTATCTATCTATCTATCTATCTATTATCTAT